GTAGCGCAGGATGGGGAATGTACAGTGTGGTGTCATAGCAAGGCGCCAGCTAAGAAGCAGAAGAGGGCCACCAGCAAAAGGATCCGGAAGGAGCGAAACAAGTAATGTCCGGCTTCTAGATGCAGATGAGGACCCCAGGTAGCTCACACTTACATCAACTGATTAGAATACCTTACAAATGTCTTGAAAGATTTAATAGCTTTATGACTAGAGATGTAAGTTATTTCATTGACTATTGTACACTATAATTACAGGTCTTCATTATATATTATACACGTTTTCTTGACGGATGTTCCTCTAACATGATTCTATCTCAGTCCTCACCTAGATTAATTAAGCTTGTAATACCAAAGAGTTAGCTATCCTTAGCATACACTTATATACACTAAGTATAATTACAGCAGACAGAATTAAGCGTATAAGGTGTGGTGTGAGGCTACTATATAATCCTTACTAGCCTTCCTGCTTCTATACTATAGTAAAACACTAGCTTAGGCCAGTATATGTTAGCTGTCTATCTGCTATTAGCGCCTAACGTAGGCGCGTCTGTATTACCTATAAAATAGGTTACTTTATAAAAAAACTAGTATTCTTTAAGACTTCTATACCTTATAAGGATACGTTACTAGAACTGTAGTAAACTTTGCGTAACCAGTAGCGCTACTAGTACTAACCTATTTCCTAAGTTTATCTAAGGCCGGATTACATGTTAACTGATGCCTGAGAGATAGAGTCTAGAAAAGTATCTTAAGCCTTTAGTAGATAATAAGATATAGAACTGTTTTAACTGTGCCTAAGTAGCTTACGCTTAATCTATAGTATAGTCTAGGAATCCCCTTTTTCTACAGCACTTATTACATATAGTCTAAGCTTCCTTTATACTAACGCACTGTTACACCCTAAGTAGCTTATAATTTATTAAGTTAAAGCCTTATCTTTATAAGCTAGATAGGATTTGTTACTGTAGCGGTTATAATAGCGGCGGTAATAGTGGCGTGCGTATAGACAATAGAATTGTCTTCCTTATAATTAAAGTACCTAGCTGCAAGAAGCTTGGTGTTTCTATACACGTAAAACTTGATGGCAGTTGCAGGAACCACACCGGCCAGGCTGGGCACAATGCTGCGAAATAACCCACGCTATAAGCGCAGTATGTCAAACGTATTAAAAACGTGGCCCAGGGGAGTTCTGTACAGACAAGAAAGAGGGGCTTGGGAGGCAACAGTTGATCGCAATCGAGGTTCGTAAAGGTCAGACTGAAGTCGAATTTGTAAGACATTAAGAGGAGAAGTGAGAAGGGTGGTTACGGCATCACCAGTCCTAGGGCACGTCAGCTTTATTACGAGACAAGTTATTTAGGATTGAATAGGTTGATAGGAATAATTAAAATAAATTTAGTTAATGCTAATGATGTCTAAAGTTCTGTAGAGGGCAATATTTCTCCTTAGGTGACGGCTTCCCCTAATATATATAAAATGGCGATGCTGTCCTGAGGTGTTTAATAGCCTGATGTATAAATAGAGAAAGCCGGCAAAACACAATTAGACGCAAGGATTCTAACAGGGGTTTAAGGATTTTAGAGTATCTTGCGCTTAGTGCGCTTAGTGCGCTTAACTTTAGCTGCACGGTATGCCTTACGACCCTTAGTTCCCGCGAAGAACTTTGCGAGCATGTAGTTACGTTTTAGGTAAGAACTGTGTGTTTCCTGTACTATAAGCTAAGCTTAACGTGTAAAATAGATAGAAATAGCAACATTAATAGCAAGGCTACAAGCAGTTTCTACACGTTAATGGCTAGAGCCTACGCAAGCCTTACGCAAGACTTCTAATCAAAATGGTGGAAGCGCCATTGAATGCACTGTATGCTGGGAACCCTTTACGACTTACGAAATCGTACGCAATCACATTTAGGCTTTTTAGGTAATGCGCAGCACTTAGCAAGTGGCTTCTAGTAACCTTATTAGTTTCATAGATACGTTTTACAGCTTTGATTTCCCGCATTTACGCCCTTTACACCCATCAGCAGACCGAAGAATCACAAACCTCTATAAATGCCCCCGAGTAAGTTTCTGCGAATGCCCTCGACTAAATCTCCGATGACTGTGATGGAAATCAGCTAGCTATCACTTTACTAAGGACCTGCCTATATAAAAGCTGCACTTACTCAAACTTCAGAAGAAAGCAGGAGTTTATACGGCACTATATCAAACGTACTATTCCATCCTCTTAAATTCCGTTTGCTAACAAGAGTTAGATATAAGTTATACTGAGTCTTGCCCGCTGTTCTTAACCCCCTTTACTCAAGCGAGCACGTTCTTAAACCACCAATACGTAAAACAAGCCGGGCGCGGTAGCAATATCAGGAAACAGCGTAAGCGAATACGACGCTTAGTGAAACAAAAGTTAGCCAAGGAAATGCAAAAGGGACGAACATAATCTAAAGCAGATCCTGGACTTAACGGCATGTAGAACACTGAAACAGCATTTGCTCCTGAACTAAGGGTCGTGTCACCTAGCGACCGCCTGGCATCCCCACTGCCTTATTCACAGCATCACTAGAACCCCATTTTGTTTAACGATTAGTGCAGCTTGGACCAACCTCGGGAGCAACACATCTTGTCGACTCTTCTATGGCCTGTGAGTAGCTTAGCCATCGGCGACTAGCGTATGCTATACGACATGGGAGCAGCGTTGTTTATGGGATTCTCTAATCCCGCAGGAGCGTTTTAATACATGGATACAATAACGTACTTCTAGCCAAAAGTAAAGTTCTCAAGAAGGGTAACTATTAACTTAGCAAACACGTTAAAAACACGTGAGAATGGTGAACCTACATCCTACGCTCTCGGCCAATTGTTTACGGTCTCTCACAATATGCGGCTTGTGGTACGGCTCAACGCAGCGAGCTCATCTCTAGACTCTATTAATGCGGAGTCTCTGTTGTCGCAATAGTCACAACTTAGTCTTGGGTTGTGCATTAAGTGGGAGACCCGCGAGAGACTATCGCAGATATCTATGAGCTGTTGTTTGATTACCTCTGATTGTATTTGCGGATCATCTGAGTTTTGCTTAACAGTAACCTCTAATAGGTTCAGTCGAAGTCGGAGTGCATCCAGAAGTCTAAATTCTCTTAGTTACGTTTATTAACACCCGGTAGGCGGCTATTACCTGGTAAGTGTTAGCGCCGGCGTAGGTGGCCTTCTATTAACAGGGAGATACTCTGATTCGCATCTATTAGTGTTCTGAGACTTGTAGAAGCTCCTGAGGGAGAGTATCTTTTGAAATCCTATGCTTACTACTGACATGCTACGTTACTAGCAAGGTCACACGTCTTTTATACTTATCAATCAGACTCTAGCCAAGCGTTGTGCCCTTAGGCCACGTATTAGGTCTAGGAGACATCCAGATGTCAGGCTCTTGGTAGCCTTTTACTTACCTAACTCCTGGTTCAGACACAAGTGACTAGAAACAGTGAGAATAAGCTACTAGGACCGTAGCTATTAGGCCTATCTGGTACTGGTTCCGCAACGAGGCCTGTAGGTTTAGATTATAGTACTAGTAGCTAGTTAAACATGCCGTGTAGGGTACTAGTGTCTAGGCGTCCTAAATGGCCTAGGACTAGTTTCTAGGTCCTCTTTTATACGATATAACTAGTCCTAGTTATTCAGAGGCCACATTAATACTGGTCTATAATAAGAAGAGACCAGTAGCCTGGCTTAAAGTATATCTGCTGCGTATCTAAACGCTAACAGGAGACTCCCTAATACTAATAACACCTGTTTCTGGCGACTAGTAACTAATAGGCACCTGATTTCTAGTGACTAGTAATTAGAGGGATAAGGTTTTGTAAAGACTAGTTAAGCATAGAACTAATGCTCCTCTTAACTAGTACTATACCAGAGGCCGCTAGATTATAACAACGAGACTAGTTATCTACCTATACCACATTTATGCTACCATTCACCAGGCTCAAGGTACCAGTAAATATACCGCCACCCTAGATAGGGACTAATCGCACCTATATCTGTCAGGGCTAAGGACTAGTGCCGGTCACACCCAGCTGGCACCAGCAGCTAGCATTTGGAGCAATAATACTTACATAAGTGATTTGTCAGGCCACATTCCCTGGAGTTAGGCGCTTATACGGGGGCAGTGCAGTATGGTCATGCCTGCTCTCAGTCTTGCTTACGGCAAGTTTACCCGAGAACTGAAACAATGCCGAGGGCTGGGCTCAGGGTGACCAGCCCAAGCTCACCCTCTGCTCACCTTTGCTCAGCTTCAGCTCAGGTTAAAGCGGCCACAGATCAGTCCCCACACTCAATCCGGATTTGGGGCGGAATTCTTGTCGCTGGTGACTATCTAGGTAGTTACTCGTGGTACAATCCACCGAAGTAGACGGTACGTATCCGCGCTGTACCTCGGCGGAGAGGAAACGGCGGGCGCCAACCAATGATGCCGCAAGCGCTGTAACGGAAGCCGCGACCAGTGGTACCAAGGCGGCGCTGTTACGCTGCGAAACAGCCGAACGAACGCCTGCCACCTTGTTCCCCAGCAGGAAAAAGCCCAGCGGTCCCCCCAGCGCCCAGATTTGTCCAATCACTAGGGCTTATGATGGCACCGGGGCCTCTTGGTGGTCTGTCACCTGCACTCAACAGGGCCACTTCTGCAGACAAGCAGACACTGACTGGGAGTCGGGTAGATGGAAGCAACAAGCGCAAAGCTCGGGTACGTACGTGGTACCTGGCACAACTGGAGACGGAACCTGGGCGACTTGGCCTGCCAGGACCTTGCAACGATTTCTCAACCTCTTTCGCAATTATTTTTCCCGCAAGGCTTTAGTTCGCACTTGCTCCCCCAGTCCTTCCACCCTCTTAATCTCGACTCTGGAACTCCCTCCTCTCCTCTCTGCTTCCCTTTTCCCCCTGCTTCCTGCACCTCTTCGCTTTCCCCTTCCCGTTAGCCTCGGTCCGGCCATAACCAACTCGTTCACAAGCCGTCAAAATGAGCAGCCTCATTGAAGAAGCAGTCAAGAAGCTGACCAGCACGGTCGAGAGCCTCGAGTCCAGAATCAAGTCTCTGGAGGACCGCGCCGCCGGTGGTTCTGGCAAGCCCACCGCCGAGGAGGTTCGCATGATTCTCATTGGCCCGCCCGGTGCCGGTAAGCAGCTCCCATTGAGTGCCTTTTTGCATGTGCTGTTGCGTCGCCGTGATGATGATGCTGATGCTGATGTTCCCTCCTAGGCAAGGGCACCCAAGCCCCCAAGATCAAGGAGAAGTTCAACTGCTGCCATTTGGTAAGTCAATTGGTCTAGTCTTGCTTGCTGTCGCGCTCCAGACCGTTTTTCTGACCATGGATCACCACCAGGCCACTGGCGATATGCTGCGATCCCAAGTCGCCAAGAAGACTCCGCTCGGCCGGGAAGCCAAGAAGATCATGGACCAAGGCGGTCTCGTTAGCGATGACATCGTCATTGGCATGATTAAGGAAGAGTTGGAGAACAACAAGGAGTGCAAGGGAGGGTAAGGCGCATCATTCTTCCCTCTCTGAGCCGGACGGACAATCCCAGGGCTTCCGGACACCCCCCGGATGAAAGGCGTTTGCTAATTATTCCAACCACAGTTTCATCCTCGACGGTTTCCCCCGCACCGTCCCCCAGGCCGAGGGTCTTGACGCCATGCTCAAGGCGCGCAACCAGAAGCTCCAGCACGCCGTCGAGCTGCAGATCGACGACTCTTTGCTCGTCGCCCGCATCACTGGCCGTCTGGTCCACCCCGCCAGCGGACGTAGCTACCACAGCACCTTCAACCCTCCCAAGAACTACATGAAGGACGACATTACCGGAGAGCCCCTTATCCAGCGCAGCGACGACAACGCCGAGGCCCTCAAGAAGCGTCTGGCCACGTACCATTCCCAGACCGCCCCCGTTGTCGGTTACTACAAGCAGACCGGCATCTGGAAGGGCCTCGACGCGTCGCAAGAGCCCGGCCAGGTCTGGAAGAACATGCTCGATATCTTCGAGTCCCAGCGCAAGGGCGGCCACGCCTCCGGCATTCTCAGCCGCGTTACTGGAAAGAACTAGACGAGCGCGGGATCCCCAAGCCACTCTCGATCCCTCGCGCGCGACGCCGCCGCCCGGTTGTCACCGCCCAGCGCGCAATTACTACGAAGAAAACGAGATGGTTTGATTCGCAATGTTCTGTTTTTGGCCTCCCTTTTGATGCATCATCGCTTTCGGATACCACGGCCGGGAAAAGAAAGGCGTGGATCGAAGGAACTCTTATGGAGATTTTTTTATGGATCATGAAACGGACTGGAAAGGGATTCATCTTCGTCACTCTCCGTCCCTGCTGCTTGAATCGAAGCAGAGCTGGCTTCACTTTTTGGCGTTCGACGTGGCCACTTCTCGCATTCTCTCCCCCACCAAACCCGGTCAAGGACCAGTTGCAGTTGTATCGTGTAGAAACCCCCTCTTCCTCGTACGCTTGTATGTAAAAACACTACTGTCTGTCTCACTAATTATCAAAACCGACGGGTTGCAGTTGGATGGCCAATCACTTTCTTCTTTGGTCTTTTGTTTTTGTCTTCTTAGTACGTGCAAAAACCCGTGACAGCGCGTTGTGGATGGGCAGGTACGCGTAAAGGAACACTATGGCCGGAATCGGGCTTTGTCGGTGCTTGTGCTTCTCACAGAGGCGAAAATAGTGGGGGCTGCATTAGCCCCACCCCGATACCAGGCCGGGCCCCGTGACTTAGTCATCGCTCACCCATCAAACTTGTCTCTAAGTGAAGCTAATGGTCAGGCGTTTCTAGGTGCTGTGGACCCCAGGATCTTCGGTTGCGTCCAACGGTCGCCGGTAACTGATGCGTTTATCCAGAGTAGGCCCGTGACGTTAACTAGTCTGCTGCGGCACCCAAAAGGGTTTGCGAGACCCATGAGATCAAATGCCCGTAAGAACCGGAGGATCTGTTGATGCTGAATTTATTCTATGACAAAAGTAAGGCTTGCAAACCTCCCGGACGCTATCAAGTTGTGTCGTAAAGACAACGAAATAGGATAATACGGCGAGTGCGAAAGTAAGGAGACTGATAATAGCTACGAAAGGGGACCAAGGAAGAACCCGCGACGAAGAAGACGGCAATAAGACCGACACAAGCTGCCACGCAGTGCAATGCAATGTTTTACTATTCCCAGGATGCAGGCCAGCTAAAAGACCGTCTATTCCCCTTGTTTGCCGCCTAGAACAAGATTTAGGGCAGGAATGAAGAAGGATGGTCAGGTGAATATAGGCGAAAAAAGATGCCGTAAATGTTGTAATAAGAAGTTGGGTATATGCAAAGGGGGTTGAGTTTGAATCGTCATACGTTACGCAGATGCTGAGGGCAGCGCCAAGCAGATGGCGAGGGCGCTTCACCTTCTAGGAGTAGCTACATTTTCCTCCCATCAGTCCCCAAATATCTTCAAAGAGGCGTAAGAGAAGGTACTTACCGTTGACCATCTGCCTCTGCTTGCCCAACCAACTCTTGGGCGCCTCGTTGCGTCTCTGCAGCACGACGTGGTTGCTCTGAATCCGACTAGTAAGGTCATACCAAGCCGTGGCGATGAGGGCGTTCTCGCGTTGGAGATTCTTGATAATCTGGTCGCTCGCGGCCTTTGTGCAGCCGTCAGCCTCTGTACCTCCCGAGCCCACAACGACATCACGACAATAGCAAGATTTCAACAGGAAAATGAATAAAATTCTATCATGTATCATTGAGATCTCAACAAGTTGGGAACGTACCTTTTGCGCTGCGGCAGCCTCTCCGCCCTCGGCAGCCTTGAGCTTTCGCTGTAAGTCGTATTTGTCTTGCTCCGACTTCTCCAATTGCTAGAAAGAACCAACCGTCAGTCATATCCGCAGAACCTCATCCACATCATTAAGAGCTCGAATAAGACAATGAATCAATGCCTAGAAGATGGAGACGGCCGCCCAAGCAACCTGTTCCACCATCTTTTGGGAGATTCTTTTAACCCCCCCGACTGAACAGGAAAGTCGACGACGTGTGAATGATATGAGGGGACTTTGAGCCGAAAACTCGGGTTACTGTCGTACAAGATGGCGCCCATAGGAACAGCAGGCATCTTGGCTGCGCGACCTTCGGGTTTTTCTGAAGTGAAAGACTTGCGGAATTTACTCACTGATGTGCGCTCCTTGAGTCTACCGCGGAGCTTTTCAACCTTGTCCTGGAGCTTCTGGACAACCTCGACAGGCTCGGTGCCGTCTTGTCGTGCCTCCCTGGCCTCGTCCAGGTCCTTACGCAACTTGTCCTTCTCAAGCAGGGCGTTAATGAGTGATGTGCGCTGCTCTTCAAGGTCAGTGGCAAAGTTCTTGAGCTGCTGGCGCGCCGCCTCGAGTTCCTCTCGAATAGACGCTGAGATGAGCTGGTCAGTGGACTTGAGTTCCTCGAGAGCTTCGGCGCTGTCCTTCGCAACGGCGGAGAGGTCAGTTCTCGCGCTAAGGAGCTCGCGATCCTTGTCTGACAGTTGCGCCTGAACCTCCTTCAGTCGTCTCTTTTCGCTTTCAAGTTCCTGCGTCTTCTGGGCGATCTGGATTCTCAGGTTGGCAAGCACTTGACTGTGATAGTAGTCTTGCGTTAGCATTCCACCCAGACCTAATCGTATAGCTTCATCGACAATTTCAACTAACTTTTCGCCGCTGCTTTCGATCAGAGCGCTGATTTGGGCCTCTGCAAGCTGGTGCTTCTCGAAGGTGTCGTTGTAAGTTCCCTGGATACGCTCTCGTTGTCTACGCTCCTCCTCGAGCTCTTGTCGAAGCCGGGCATTCTCTGAAGCGGAGCCCATACCGCTCCGAAGCAGGTTGTTCTCGGCCTTGAGACGCGAAATTTCGAGTGCCGGGTTAGGAGCGACACTGTTGCCAGCGCCCTCAAGCTCCTCCTCGAGACTGAAGCCTGCGGTCCCCGCATCGGGTGACAAGGCGACTTGTGGTCCGGAGTTGATCTGCTCCTGCAACTCGGCAATCCATCGTTCATCAGAGAGTCGCTGAGCGTCGAGAGTGGCCAGACGATCTCTCAACTGCTGGGCGTCATCGTGAAGAGCTCTCCTCTGGGCATCCAGCTCAACGTACTGCAGCTCATAATCTCGGAGCTTGGAGGCATACTGTTCATTGGTTTGCTCCAATGCCTGGTTCCTCTTTAGAACCTTCTCGTATTCGATGAGGTCGCGCTGCATCTGCTCCTTCTCATACAGCAGATTGTCCATCTCCTTGGATAATGTGGACTGTGCCTCGAGCTTCTGCTTGTATCGCTCCACCATGTTGGCCTTGCGAGAAAGCTCCTCGTTCTTGAAACGCAGCTCCTTCACCTCGTCGTCAAGGGTCTCAAGCTTCTGGGCCTTGACCTTAAGCGCCGAGACCTCGCTCATCAGCCGCTCCTTGGTAATGCGATCGTCCTCGGCCTGTGCCTCTTGGTTGGCAATGAGCTCGTCCTGCTCACGCAGTTTGAGCTCCAGCGACCTGATAACCTCCTTGCCGGCACCGTCCTGAGCACTGTGGAACGCCTCTAGCTCCCTGCCCTTCCGTACCACCTCTTCCTTCAGGTCATCGTAGCTTTCCTGAAGGTGGCCCAAGCGCGTTTCCATGTCTGCAAGAAGTTTTCCCTTTTTGTCCAGGTCGGAACGGAGGCGGATGTTGTCGGCTTCCATGGCAAGGTCTGCATTGTGGCTTTCGTGACCAACCTCCGAGGCCTCCTCCAGGTCCTGGGCCTCGGCCTCCTCCATCACCGCCTTCATGTCCTGCGTGACCCTTTGTAGCTGCATGAGAATCGTCATATCTTTAATGTCTTCGGTGATACGCATAACGTATCGTTCGTTGCTGCTGCCTAACATCGCAACGGCGAACAACACGGCGAGAAGCTGGGAGCCGCACTTTGTTAGCCTAACTGTCCTTCCACGTAGACGACGCTGGGTCTGTACCTTGCTGATGGCTTCGGGGCGTGCTTCTCTCGCGCTAGGACGAATGTCGGCGAGCTTGGCCTGGCCGACGAGGCCAGGGCACTCGCGATAGACTAACTTGACAATGCCCCTGTAGACGTCGTAAAGCTCGCCCTCAGTAGGGTTGGCGTCGAAGGTGGGATCCAGGTGCTGGAGGACCTGTGACAGAAGGTGGCCATCGAGGAAATCCGATATTGAGTCGGCTTTCTTGTCGAGGGGAAATGTGTTGGCCTGTGATAAAGCATTGGGTCAGCACAAGATATTGTGGCAGCTACGCAGTCTGGAGCCCGGATCGAGCACAATGGAGTGGGAAATTAGGGGCGCCAACTATAAGGGAAGCTCGACTTACCCATTGGACTAGCGCGGCCTGCGCGCTCTCTGAGTACGGCATGATGCCCCCGTCTACTGGATCTTGACGTTCGTCGTCCTTCGCGGTTGTGTTCGTCGTGAATCGTGTGTCAGTCGTGGTTCCTAGGATGTCTAAGGGGGGTGGGTTTGGTGGTTGTACGGGGAGCAGCACGTGGGAAAATGAAATGGTCTTTCCCCCGGCTCCACTGTGTTCGGCGTATGATCGTGGTTCGTATATGCCGAAAGTCAAAGCGGCAGTGGAATTGTGGTTCCGTTGGCCTGGCAAGTTCGCATCGCGGCAGATATAGTGTACTAGTAAATATGATCAAGGAAGGGGAGGAGGGAAGTTATTAACGTTCACGCCAGAGTCAAGCCGAAAACACTCTCCGTAATTCAAGACTCGAGGGGTAAGCGGTGAAAGAAAGGAGCGAAGAACAGAACGTTATTTACGCATTGTCAAAGGACACGGGCCGTAAAATCAAGAGGTATGTCCTTTTCTCATGTCTTGATTCTTTTTTGGAGCATCTCCTGCATCCACTTCCAAGGTACCTATTTGCCCAAGACAGGCACATTGTTCACGTTGCTGCATTTTCTCCGTTGTATCCACACTTGGCCTTGCACAACGTAGCTTCATCCGGCTTTCCCCCTAATTATCGGCTTGACAGGAGGCAGCTAGGCAGCTTTGTGTTAGTGAGAGTGGCGCGGGGCATCCACGCGCCACGGACGTATGGTGCGTTGCATTGCTCTGACAAGACGGAATAGCAGTCTGCTCCCGCTGTCTAGTGACTGCGATACTACATGCCTACCTACCTTAGTATGTACATGCTATACTATTTAGGGGTACCTCCCGCACCCCAAGCCCGAAACTCGAAGTGACGCGAAGCGGATCGGAAATCTAGGGTGAGACAGTGGGGCCACTGCTCATCTCCAACCTGGTCCTAGCCCTTGAAGCGGCCGGCCACTGATGGGATGGGAGGGGCGACGGCAGCTCTCGTTTTCTGCCGATCGACTCTCGAGTCACTTGCAGCCCCAGTTAATCCCGATGACGAATATGCCTAGGCGTCACCTAGAGTGTACCATAAAGGACCCAGATATGAGCTGCAAAGACTTGACAGTCGAAAAGTTTTGACTTTCAGCTTTGCACATGTGGAAGGTGACGTTGTCTGAGTCATTTATTCGATGTTGTGTAGTGACTTGTTCACTTTCAAGAGCTTGCATCGACGGCAGAAAGGACAAAGAAAGAAAAGCAAAGCCGCCAACACAGCATCAATCGAAAGCGTACGTTTGTCAATCGAACAAAACGAAACGAAAAAAAAAAAAGCTAGTCAAAGACCGAAGATAGCCACTATCCTCCTACCAGATGGAACAGCTGTCTGGGACGAATCTAAGACGATCTTGATTGGAACGCTTGGACAAACCCAGTTGCTCCAGGTTGCAGTTGCAATGTTCCATCGGGTTTCTCTGGACCCCGTTTCGATGGCTCCGTGCCTGTCCAACGATCCCACCAAATCTGAAAGATAGAGAGTCTCTTGGCCTCTACTTCGTAGGCGGTGACTCTCTTGCCGGTTGAGAGACAGCAGAAATACGGATACACTACTGTGCCTTCCTCCCGCAGTACACTCTGACTCGTCCGTGCCAGGACCAGGGGCTATCCTGCTCGGTGCATTAAGAGCATGACCCAAGCCATGGAAACACCGGCTTTCGTCCTGTTGTGACCACATGGCATTATCGCACCTGAGGCCGTCCTTCTATACTACACTTAATCAAGTGCCTGCAGAGAGCTTTGCCCAAGACAACGCTTCAGCCCGTCTTTTTGACGTCGCCGCTGTCTAGTGCTTCTGTTTTCGTCAAGAAAATCAATCGAAACCCCCGGGCTAGCGGTGGAGAAGGAACGGAGGTGAGCAGACTCAAAATCCGCTTTTGATCTGCGTACCTGCTTTCCGCTCACGATGCCACTCTCCACTCCTTATCGGGCATTTCGCCTTTGGATTGGTCCTACTACGTACACGGGAAAACCGAATGCTCTCCCATGAGACCCGGATATGTCATCGATGTATCGCCCGTGTGGTTAACATCCGCATTCAGCACTGACCTTCACGTTTGCGACCCCTCGTTCATACGGACACAACGTCATGACATCAAATGTCTGATACGAAGTCTTCGTAATCGAAGAAGGGCAATCGCAGGTCCGATTGCCCAGGCAAGCCCCAGTCACGAAGTAAATATATGCTTTGAATACCGAATAGCGGTTATTGTTTGGCATGAAGCGTTAAGAAGAACATGACCACACGCGGCCTGAGCCTTCTCGCGGCTCTACATATGAAGATGCCTGAAGACACTGTTGAACTGTTGCAAACTCCTGACTCCGTAGCGATAAACTCTCTATAACGAAAATAGGGGAAATAAGTGCCTCCTTGCTTATCCCTGTAGCGACTGCCGGGGAAAGGGGGGCGGATATCATTATCCTCGTGACCTAATCCAGCCAGAGTCCTTTTCACACATTTTTGTATCTTTCTTCGCCGTATGCTTTACGATAATGATGTCGCAGGTTTTGCAGATAGATTGGGATGTCCGTTCGATCAACGACGCGCTGTCTACGAGCCGGTGACGGTGTGGTCCTCATCGATTACTAGGCCTTCGCTGAAAGCCTGGACGGACTCGAGGACCTTGACCGGTGTGACGCAGGCGAAACCCCTGACATTACGTTAGCTTCTGTGACGCGGCGACTGTGTCGCATGGCAATACTTGCTCACCTGATCAGAGAATAGGTGTGAGTGATTTGGCCACCAGCGTCGATGATGGACTGCTTGGCCTTTGCGATGATATCATCGCTGATCGAGTCGGACTGGGCCCAGATGATGACAGACTTCATCTGGTCGACGGCCAGTACGCCGGGGACGACGGCAAGAGCGGCGACAAGAAATGCGGAGGGTCTCATGTTGACGGCTTGAGAGATTCGGAGGTTGTCAGGTAGAGCGAGTTTGAAATATGGGCTGCTGTCGCAAACTTTGGGTGCGACAGTAAGGCGGCGGTTATCGGCGGCGGTGTGTCGGAGTGATTGAGTATGGATCAAATGTTGAGAATGAGCGAAAAGGCGGGATGCGTTAGAGAAAGAAAGCTGGATGTAGACGAAAGCACCCAGGGGTCGCGTGTGGGGGGTTGCGGGTATTAATCGTTCGTTGCTGGAGAATATGGATGGATAGCGGGTGAGAAATGGGTGCATGCAAGGAGCAAGTTCAGGTCAGGTAGCGACAGACCAGACCTGGGGCCTTGATAGGTACCTACACTACCTATGTACTTGGTCGCCTGTTGTCATAGGCTTGTCGCTTAACGCACCGAGTCACAGCGCAGCTCTATACTTCGGACTGGTGATGCCCCCAGAAAGCATGGTCGTCCCAGCATTTGTCCAATAAGTGGCCGGCCTGGTACCATCATTGGGTTCAGGTCCCTCCCCGCCACCTCTTCACTCAGATAGGCAGGTATCTAGCACCTGGGTAGGTTCCAGCCAGCCACTATCAGGGTACGGGCTGGTAGTGCAGTGGCGCTAGCAAACTGCATGAACATGTGCCTCCTACCAGGTATTTCCAGCAGCGTTTACGCGCACAACAGTTGCCTCTTCGCGTTGGCAAACAGTCTTGGGGCAGCTTCACGGTTGGAACTGTGCAACAGAAGGTCACACATTGCTGCTCCCTCTGCGTGCCGTTCTTTCGTCCCATCAGAGCTCAGCCCTCCTTGTCTGGAACGACCCACTGGATTAGGCCACATTTCAGTCCCGGTCTGATGTGGCTCCCCCAAACGAGCACTCGTCATCGGCGGTTGCGCCGTTTCATTGTGTTCATCAACCGAGTATTATGTTGAACCCGATGGTGCTACCTAGGTAGTCTTCGACAACGCTATCAGCCGTTTTGTCCTGTGCTCCCGCATGTTTCGCTGCTGATCCGGCTACAAATGAGCGAGTATGGTGGCATTGACGTAGCTGGACGGGTGAACGACGTCAAAATGGTTGATTTCCCGCCATCGCCCGACTCATTTGCATAAAAGGCACATTCCGCCTCTCGCGCAACCGGTGACGGGAGGTATGGGGTCCATCTGGACAGTCAACCACTGGAACGTTTGGGCGAAACACTCCCAAACAACACCCTACGGAAAACATTGATCCTATCACTCACTACTGCTGTTGCTAAGCAAGTCGTAGTATTCGTCACTTACTGAAGTGGCCGCAGAGGAGGCGCAGACCCCGGCTCGTCTGGGCCATCTCGCTTTGTGTTCCCATCCTCTTCATGCGTGTGCATGTGATCCTCAACGCCGGTTCGTTAACCCCAAATGTCATCCCACCCCCGAGCCGTCAAAGAAACAGTGTTGGTGTAATTAATGTAGACTCCCGATGCCCGTACATCGTCGCAAATGGTCCAATGACTATCTGAGGCCTCTATCCCTTCGCACTGCCTGCCATGCTGTCGTTCTCGCCCCAGATGTCCTTAGTTTCTTGTTCCACAGCTCGCATCGCAACAGCAACGTCCTCAAGTTTCGCAACAACGTCAAGAACGCCTTGATTTACCCGTTGGAAATACCGGTCATTGGCCTCCCGCCTCTTCCGTGCCAGCAGAATGTCTACCTCGGTCTCTTGCTCAAGCTTGGCCCCGAGGCGTTCGGTTCCTCCACTACTGCCCGGACGGCCACTGCTGCTTCCTGTACTCCGTGGACCCTCATTGTTGTCTGGTGCCACACCCGCCTCTCCCAGAACCGCGCCCGTGAGATTGCGAACTTCCTCCCCGGCTGCTGACAAAGTTGAACGCTGGCCCGTCATCTCGATGGCCTCGTCCGCCTCACTTCGAGCCCAAGCCTGAGCCAGGGCAATCTGAGCTGCTCTGAGCTCCTCCAGTTTGCGGTCGTGGTCCGGACCAAAGACGTGAGTTCCGCCTGACGCAGACAGTTCCACCTCCTCGAGCGTCGCTTGCATCTCCGCCCATAATGCGTCGGTTCTGTCAGCGCTCCGGGTGCTCTCGGCCGTCTTGATATTCCGGGAAGGACGAGCGACGGACGGCGTGACTACCGAGCCGGTATGAAAAGATCCGTTACGTTGCATGTTCAAGGGTGGCTGAGGTAGAGGTGAGATGCCTGCGGACGATGTCGCTGGCGCTCCCGGCGCAAGAATGCCTGGTAGCGAGGCATGAGAGGCGGCGGGGGATGGATGAAGGAAGAGGGATGGCGGAGGGTCGCGCTGCTTTCCTTTGCTCTTGGCCGATTGAGACATACCTACATGTTGGGTGTCATCGTGAGCATTCCTCGTGGTTGACTTGGCATCTGAGACAGCGTCTCTCGAAGCTGACGCTGACGGCATATGGTTGGATTGGACGCTTGAGATCAAGTTGCGGACCTGGGGGGTTACCCCTGGCGGAGCCTGGAGAGAGGGACGTGGGGTCAAGGCTCCTTGCACACGGAACTCAGAGTCAAGGGCTATGATTGGGCGAGAGGATAGCCCCGCTGAAGCCAGTTGACCCGGCCTTCTTCCGCTCGTTAACGCAGTGAAGCACGAGCCACTCTCACGTGACCATGAAATAGTCCCTCCAGTCTTTGTAGGGTTTTCGTGCCCTTCCGAAAAATTTGGTGGTGGTTTGTCAACCTGGAAGCGTAGCTTGGTCAATCTTTCGCAGAACGAGAGGCTCAGTCACCACCACCAAGTCAAGTCTCGCGATACCCTCCAACAAACCGGTACGTTGCGCCCTTTCTCCCAGACATTCGCAGCCCGTCGCCGACGAATTTTCTTTCCCCCCTCCCAACGACCTCGACGAAATCCTACCGACTCGCCCCTCGACAAATAGACATACATCACTTTGGAGCTTTCAACTGACACTGATTCATATCAGCCAACATGCCTCGTGGACTCAATGCGGCGCGCAAGTTGCGCCTGAACCGTAAGGACCAGAAGTGGGCCGACCTCGGATACAAGAAGCGTGCTCTCGGCACTGCTTTCAAGTCCTCTCCCTTCGGTGGCTCCTCCCACGCCAAGGGCATCGTCCTCGAGAAGGTCGGTGTCGAGGCTAAACAGCCCAACTCCGCCATCCGAAAGTGCGTTCGTGTTCAGTTGATCAAGAACGGCAAGAAGGTCACTGCTTTCGGTACGATACAGCCCCCCCTTGGAACACTATCCCGACGAATCTCGAAATGAGACCGAGAGAGTAGAATGATGGCTCGAAAAAATGCCATGGTGACGAAGGAATACGATTTGCTGACATTTAGTCTCTTCCAGTCCCCAACGACGGTTGCTTGAACTTCGTCGACGAGAACGACGAGGTCCTCCTGGCCGGTTTCGGTCGCAAGGGCAAGGCCAAGGGTGATATTCCCGGTGTTCGCTTCAAGGTCGTCAAGGTCTCTGGTGTCGGTCTGCTCGCTCTGTGGAAGGAGAAGAAGGAGAAGCCCAGATCTTAAATGGGAGGCTTCGCGAAGCATGGGAAGACAGTGGAAGAAAATTCGGCACTCGGAGTTTTACGCTTGCATTGGCATCAATGGGTTATGGTCCTGATACTGCGAGTAGACTTTGGTCGATGAAATAAAACATCATGAAAGTCACCTGACATGCGACATTTCACACATTACAAAAACGGGGTTATCGGGCGTGAGCAAGAATCAGGATATTCGATTCTACGTGCTATGAATACAGATGGTGTTGGTACATTTTTTCTCCCTCGCTGCCTACTCCGAGCCCCCTATTGTTCCTGAGTCTTGACGTCCTCCTCTCCATCCTGAATGTATCTTACAGTATAATCAGCTGCGAGGCCTAGGCTGACAACGCCGCCGGTAATCCAGCAACCGTTAACAAACCACCACCAGCAGTCTTTGACGCTCTTAAGTTTGACGCGCTTAATCATGACGCCGAGCGTCACTGCTGCTCCGCCGACGCTGCCAATGAAGAACGCCGGACCAGCGCCCGCGGCAAACCCGGCAGCACTGAGAAGACTAAGCTGAACAGCGGCCAGCCCCGTCAGGACTTGCTTTGTCTCGGCGTCGTGCTTCAGAGCGATACTCTTGATGCCGGCCTTGGCATCGTCCTTGATGTCCATGTGGGCGTATATCATGTCGTACAGAACTGTCCAGGCAACGTTCGAGGAGTACAGGCAGGCCGCAGCTGTCAGCGCTGCGCTGTTGGAAAGTAGGTCGATGCCGAGAGCGGGGAAGCCCATCATTGCACCCCAGGAAAATGTCAGCCCCAGGACGGCCTGCGGGTAGTACGTGATTCGCTTGGCCAGGGGGTAGGAGGCGACAAGGAGCAGACTCGGAATGCCGTAGAAAAGACAGGAGGTAGGAAACTGGAGAAGAATTCCCAGGCCAGCCAAAAGCTGAGCTCCGGTGAAGGCGAGTCCTTGGAAGGGTGTGAGGGCGCCCCGCGCGATGGGACGGAATTTGGTTCTGGTAACATGAGGATCGAGTTTGCGGTCCCAGAGATCATTAATGCTGCAGCCGGCACTGCGCATGATGAAGGCTCCCGAGAAGAAGAGCAGAGAAGTCCCGATGACCGAAACTGGAGAAGCCATGGGAGCTACCATGGGCGCAGCCATGAGGGTCGACCAGAGGCAGGGGAAGAAGAGATAGTAGGTTCCCGCGGGCTTATCCATGCGGGTCAGCTCGGCGTAAGGAACCCATGATGCAGGTAAGTAAGAGATAATGCCCGTCTTGGGCGGAGAATAGACGGCCTCGGGGGAAGCGGGTGGTTCAGGCACTTCTTGGGTGGCAGCCGTTGTGAGGCGTTCTGTTGATGTGTGCAGGGCTGCCTGTTGGTAGGACGAATTTCGAAGGGTCAGAGCCATAGTCAGCTTCTTGTGCAGTCGTAGATTCTGTCGAGAAGACAACGGTACTAGGAAGATTGCCGTGGTTCGTGAAGACGCCTTGTGTGCCACCCGTAAGGGGGCTCTTAACAAGCTAATTTGTCTCATGCTCAACTACTATCATGTTAGTTCAAATCTCACCAACATGACAATTTCAGTGACAGGAAGTCAAGCCTGTGTCCAGAAGCTTTACAATACTGGGACCAAACTCTTCGAAAGCTCAACTAAGTGAAATCAAATCACACTTGTATGAATATGAGAATATTGCAATGGCTCTGCTACCCGCTAGTGGTAACGTTGCGGGATAAGCTCTTTCTAGACATTGTTGGTGAGGATGCAAGAGACGCGTTGCTTACATGCGAAATGCAATAGAAAGCAGGAGAGGCAAGAGATTGACGCTTGAACCATGAACTCCTATGTACTTTCCCGCGTGATATACGAGACGTTTTGAACTTACTGGTGCCAGAAAAGCCAAGGCTTTCCAACTTCTGAATGTCCTTTCACCAACTTTTCCAGCTGCCACTGAGAGAACCGAAAACTGAGAGCTTCCGTCGAAGGTCTTGAAGGAAAAGTGGTCCGTGCATACATCTAGAGCATGATTGGTTGCGCTTTTAGCTTTCGCTTTAGTTTGGCATGGTCCTATCCTACTTAGACCTGGGCAGCCTTGCCTTGTAACGCTACGCCACTTTCCGTCGACGCGCGCGCGCCTTGCGATCGCAAGTCCTTATGTTGTGCCCGTCGCAGCTTTTCGACGCCTCATACCCCGAATAGCCCCTCAATCCCGACCTTTCCTCGAGAAAGTGCAGCGCGGACGAGTCATTGACTGACGCGTTCCTTTCGGTGTCCCAGCATATGTGGTAGCCTTTGATCGTCAAGATGCGGACCTCGATGCATCCTCAAGCCAAGTTCGATCCGATCCCCCCGGACTTGGACCTTCACACACTGGTCGACCAGACTCCAAACTTCGAATGGGTCCTCCGCATATCGACTGCACAAATTCAGGGCCTTGGCCCTCAAGAATTCGAGAAATTGGTACAGCTGCAAGTCATCCAGGGCGGGAAGCCGCTGGTCATTGAGAAATGGAATGATGTCCTTCCCCAATGGCTTTTCAGCAGGGAATGGCTGGAGAAAACTTACGACAAGAAACGTAGACGCGACTGTCTCTTTCGCGACTGCAACAATAGCTAACACTGGACAGAGGAAAACGTTCGCGACATCACCGGTCAAACCGAAATCCCGATGACCATGGGTCACTACTTGAGAGCCATGAACCAACTTTCCAACCAATGGACCCCGAGCAATTATCGAGACGAAAGGCGGCAACGTCTTTACCTCAAGGACATCGACTGTCCGCCTCAGTGGCACGAGCACCTTCAGAAGGTCATTCCTCCAAACCTTTTCTACATGAACGAGAATGTTACGCAGAAAGGAGCTGTCAATCCACAAAACAACGACGTCTTCCGCGGTATTGGCGACAGAACGACGCTAGCTCCTGCGGGCGACCTGATGTCAAGCCTTCCCGAGGAAATGCGAGCGCAGAACCTCATGTGTTATATCGGCCATGAAGGGACCTTTACTCCGGCGCATCGTGAAATGTGCGCCAGTCTTGGTCAGAACATTATGGTTGAAGCTTCGGGCAGCGAGAACGGAGAGAAGCCAGGCAGCTCCATCTGGTTCATGACGGAAACCAAAGATCGGGAAGTTGTCCGCGAGTACTTCCTTTCGATGCTCGGCCATGACATCGAGATCGAGAAGCATTTTGCGCAAATCAACGCTTGGAAGAAGGCCACATTTCCTGTCTACATCGTTGAGCAGAAACCTGGCGACTTCATCCTCGTCCCACCCCTAGCTCCCCATCAGGTCTGGAACAGAGGTACCCGCACTATGAAGGTTGCGTGGAACCGGACAACAGTCGAGACTCTAGACATGGCACTCCATGAGGCCTTGCCAAAGGCCCGGCTCGTTTGTCGCGATGAGCAGTACAAGAACAAGGCCATTATCTACTATACGCTCAAGAAGTACTACCGGCAGATGGTGCAAGCAGAGGAGAAGGCCGAGATGGGAATTCTTGGTCTGGGCTCTGAACTGTTCCGCTCTTCGACACGCTACAAACAGCTCGCCAAGGATTTCCGCCACCTTTTCTCGTTGTTTACCGAGGTTCTCGTCGATGAGATGTTTGCAACCAAAGAGAAAAATATTGATTACGTTGAGTACGATTCTTGTGTCACTTGCTCGTACTGCAGATCAAACATTTTCAACCGATTTCTGACCTGCAAGCACTGTGTGCGAACTCTGGTCAATGGTGACGAGGATGCATATGATGTCTGCATGGAGTGTTATGCCATGGGACGGTCCTGTGTGTGCATCTCCAACCTCGAATGGTGTGAACAATGGCACTGGTCGGAGCTGACAGATAATTACGAGCTCTGGCGATCCATGGTCATCAAGAATGACGGTTTTGTCGATTTGGAGCTTTCACCACAGCCTCTTGAGATCGCTCGCAGCCGACGAGGCAAGAAGTCGCTCGCCGAAATATGCCAGGAGGGCCTCCGCAGGCGACCTTTCAAGGATATCTCAAAACTCGAGGAGGAGAAAAAGCTCACTGAATCCGAACCCGAAACAGAGCTTGATAACAACGGCAAGCCGAAGAAGAGGAAGTATAAGCGTAAGAAGAAGAAGGGAGATCTTCGCCGCTGCCACGTATGCTGCCACAAGGATTATGCATACAAGGTGCAGGTCTGCTCCAACCCAGAATGCAAAGAAGGCTACTGCTATGGCGTGCTCTATCGTGCGTTTGACATGATGCCACAGACGGTACAAGAGAACGAGAAATGGCTCTGCCCGAAGTGTCTGGGTATTTGCAATTGCGGTGCATGCCGCCGCGCGGAGAGTAGCAATCCTTATACACCGAAGAACACCCTCCTCGGCCATGACACCCGAGCCATTGCCGACGATCGAAGCGTCGAGGTTCTCGTCGATTTCCGAGTTCACAACCTGAACTGGCTCAAGACTGCGGGCGAAGAGGGCCGCAGCACCAACAGCAAGCGCATGAAGGAGTTGAGAGAGAAAGCCGACACCGCCAAAGCTCAAGAAACAGCCGCCATTACTGCGGAGGACATCGCGAACGGCGCCAACGGTGCCGCCGGGTCTGTGGAAAACGTGGCGAATGGATACGGCGACCAGAGCCAGGTTCTCGGGGGGTATGACATCCAAATGCAAGACCAGAGCACTTTTGAAGGTGGTCAAGACATGTCCCAGGTAGACCATGACCAGTCTATGCCGCTCGCTGATATGAGCCCGCCTGGCGGATGGGACCAGTCAGCCTATCCAGATCCCTTGGATGGTCAGCGCATGTTCGGTATGGGCTACTATGAGCAAGATGGACCAGATCAAATTCTCTTCGATCCTTTCCAATTGCCTTCTGCAGAGGCCATGGTCTTTGACCAAGAGGCCGAGTACATTACAAAGACACTGCGCGCGCAGAAGCGGAAAGCAAGGCACGAGAACGAATTCGACCCGGACTTCAATGCACCTAGGAGCCACCACAAGAAAAAACAGAAGAAGGACGATGCGGGCGATGTTTCGAGTATTGACCCTGCCCTGCTTAGCGGTACACCTTTTGCTTCCGGCGTCGCTGGCACAACCGGAGCGGACGAAAATCCCGAGTCAAACGATGCTAGCGTTGCTCCTGAAAATGAGGCTCCAGCTCAGTTGGAGAGTGAGGCAGCGCAAACGGGAGAAGGACAGCGACCGAAGAGCGGTTATCCGGCGGCTCAATATCCGGCAAACGTCCCTGCGCTTCGGCATGCCAGGCCCAAGACATCGTATGCTGAGCCCGAAGAGCCAGTGGTTGATGACCCGGACGACATCGTACCAGCATTCAACGACAAGCCGCTCGTCCAAAATGACGAGCCGCAACCCGGCGACAGCAGCGTCGATCCCCTGGATCTTGCTTCTGACGCTTTACGCGCTCTCATTCGGAAAGGAACTGACGTGGCGAATGCTACCGTCGCCGCTACCACAATCGAAACGCCCAAGATGCCTAAGAGGCGAGGAAGGCCACCGAAGAGCGCAAGCTCGACACCAGCATCGGCTACAAGAGCCGCGGTTGTGCCGAAACCGTCCCCCGCAGACCTTGCCGCGAAGAAGCGCGAGGAACGCGCGTCTCGGCGATCGCGTCTCAGCGGGGTTGTGACTATCGATGGAGCCAGTCACTTCAACCCTCGAAGGCAAGATGGCTCTGAAGATGGCAATCGTGACGCAGTCAATGGCGTTACGGAGGCTGAGCTCGAGGCTGAGCTTGATAGAGAGTTGGCTGGAGATTCGCAGAAAGCACCAGTTACGTCGATCGAGGAACTACAACCAACGGAGGCTATTGTGCAGCCACCTAAGAGGCGTCGCGGCCGACCACCTAAAAACAAGGTTGCTCCTGCAGAGACGGAGCCTGTCGATAGATCTCCTCCTCCGCCTCCTGCAGCTGCAACAGGAATGATGTCCATGGCAGCTCGCGTTGCAGCTCGTGGTGGGAAGTTTAAGATTACTTCTCGCCAGTCGCGGGATTGGAGTACTAAGGAGCCCTCGGCCCCGGCCCAAACATCGTCAGAGAGGCAGTCTAGCGGACGTGGCGAACAGCAGCCGGAAGTCACGTCGGCTGAAGAGCCCGTGCGGGAACCATCGAGGGTGTCGAGTGTAGATGTTACGCCTCCGCCTCCTGCCGCGACGACGAGAGCGAGAGACTCGAACTCGGATCACGCGCCCCCATCTCCTGGCGTCAGGCACAGAGAGCCAAGTTCGGATCCTATTTCTCCACCCTCAGGCGTAGACGGCAGACCTGAGCAGAGGTCAGATGAGAATGAGGGAGCATCTGATTCTTCTGCCCATGAAGCATTGGCCTCTTCTCCTTCTTCTTCTGATTCGGGCATCCCAGATGCAAGCCCTCTTCCGCCGCCCGCACGGCGCGGTAGATCTTCGACTGGGCCCACAGTAGTGAGGCTTGGCGAGTCTGAATCTGAGAGCGAGGTCTCCTCTTCGTCAGAGTCTAAGAGTGGTATTGGTGGGTCTCCTGCTGTGTCTAGCAGAGGAGCTTTCCGGGGTAGGGGGAGAGGACGCGGCCGTGGACGGGGCCGCGGACGTGGACGTGGACGTGGACGAGGACGAGGACGAGGTTATTGAGCAGAGAATCCAAGGACCAGGGATTACTGTGGTATTTTGGGCTTCTGGTTTTCATTCCGCCAGAGTGACCATGGGTGGGGGTAGCCCTTGATTTCGCCAGCGATTTGGGCTGTTTGTAGCACTATTACACCCAGCACGAAGTGACTTACGGGCGAGAAATGCCGACGGAGAGAGAGATAGATGCACTTGTATGATAATCTCACATCTAAATCTCGCAGCTCTCGCGTTATGGCATTCAGAAGGTGAAAACATGCGCGTAGTCGCCGGGTTCTGACATCCCCTCATCATGCAGCAACGTTCATCCCACCAAGGTATCTATTCAGCTTCCAATATGTGCTGTATTACTCAAACAATTTTTACGCCTCCCTATCCTCAAGCCAATTTGACCGAATCCCTCCCCCCTCCCCCCCCCCCCCCCCTTCCTCCACTGGGCGGCTCTAATCTCCGTGCTTAAAATTAAAGTACAACAAAAACACCTTGTCGTTCTCTGCCCGTTCCAACGTAGCCCCCTTTGGGGGAGAGACAAGACCGTCACCGCACACGCGTGATGGGACTACTCGGCAGAGGCCCTGGCCAGGGCCTCGTGCAGGTGCGGCGGGAAGCGGTAGCGCAGCTGCGACGTGTAGGTGGTGAGGTCGAGCGTCATCTGCTTCATCTGCTCGACCATCATGCGGCGGGTGCCCTCGTTGCCGCTGAACTGGCCGCCTGTGAGCTCGTCGCGCTGGCGCGTGCAGCAGATGATGGTCCACATGAGCAGGTTGGGCACGTTGATGGAGACGGGCTGGGAGAGGCCGGAGAACTTTGCGGCGTAGGCGCGGATGATGCTCGGGTCGCCGCTGGCGTCAAGGGGAAGGATCTCAAGGCCGCGGATTTTCTGTTTCGGTGTGTTAGTCTTTTGTTCGGGATACCAAGGTACACGGCGGTCAGGGGGGGGGGGTGGCTTACGTCTAGGCATTGGGCCCACTGACCGGCTTCGACAAGGGACTTGATGGTGCTCATCTCGAGAAGGACACGGCAGGCAACCCTGTTTTGCTCCTGGATCTTGCGGTGGAACATGGCGTCGCGCTCGTACATGGACATCATAGTACGGGCGAGCTCGACGGGGTCGTCGATGGACGCCAGGCTCAGGCTGCTGCCAGTCTCGGCCTCTTGGCCGGCAGCACGGGGCTTGACAGGCATAAGACGCATGGGGTCCTCACCAATCTCGAGTGAAATGGCCTCGCTGAGCGCGCGGCTGACGATGGAGACGACAGTATCGTACTCGCCGGCCAGGTGGTAGAGCAGGACCGAGTCAGTGGTGCGGCCGTTCTCGTCGGCGAAGCTGGCGGCCTGGACGGTGACGGTGTTGATGAAGTCGTTCTCCTCCGTCAGGCCGATGAGCGAGCCGCGCTCCTCAATTATGCCGCGGATCCGCTGGCCGTCAGGGCGGATGTCGCCGATGAGCTTGCTGAACTCGCGAGTCTCGAGTATCAGCTCGCGCAGGGCCTCCCAGCAAAGATTGGCGTGGCGGCGGCCGGCCTCGCCGGGCAGGTCCATGTTGAGGCAAATGAGGGTCAGGTAGTCAACGGCGGACACAACGTCGGCTGCTCTGAAGTCCCTGGTGTAGTAGCCAATCATTCTGCCGAAGTTGATCTGGACCATGTCCTTGACGTTCAGGCTGCGCAGGTCGTTGGAAGCGCTGAAGGGGTCGGAAGGCCGGAGGAGACCGTAGTACTCGAGGGCAATGGCGAAGTGGACTGCGTCGACATAGGAAAATGGGTAGAGGTACGCAATGGCCTCCTCGAACATGCCTGACAGCACCTGAAGGTAGAAGAACATGCCGAAACTGCCACTGTTGTCCTCGGAAGAGGACTTGGGGAAGTGCTTAGCACCAATCTCCTTGATGCTCGACTGCAGTTCCGAGAGACCGTAAGCCTCGCTAGCTACCTCGACAGAGCGGTCGCCCTCTCTGGCAAGGTTGAACTGGAGCCAGATCCAGTCGTTGATGTCTGTGTTGAGTCCATCCAAGCTCCGGTTGTTTAAGTCGCAGCGACCAATAATCTTGTAACAAGCCATCCGGAAGGGGTCGATGGAGTTGTCGGGGGCGTTGCGCACACGCTGGCTGTACTCGGCATTGCATCTGTCCTGCAGCGTCCGCTTCAAGCGACGGTCCTCGTTCGAGGCGTAACCATTCAGATAGCTCTGGAACGTACGGTCGATGCTGCGGAAGGGATTGGCGTTATCATTGACGTACTTCGCAGCCTCGCTGACGTGACCAGACCGCAGCAGGTAGAAGACGGTAGCCCACACATACTCGCCTCCAACTTGCTGGAGTTCCGTATTGTCGGGTACCAGGTCCTTCCTTGCGGACCGCAGACGGATATAGGCCCGAATCTTGCTGACAATATCGGGGCGGCCTCCGAGGTTGGCCTCGTGGGGGTGTTTTGAGATGAGCGCCTCGACCTCTTGCAGGAACTGCTTCTCCAGATATCTGTTGGCACCGTCCAGCAATCTCTTCCGCATAGATATCGAGCTGGAAGAGTTGGGGGCTTCGTCCAGATACATCTTGGCGAATTGACGCTCCTTGGCTGTGGCACCGTTGATGGTCGTATCGGCCTCAGGGTCCTCTCCGACAATCTCTCGCACAGCGTGATACGCCTCAACAATATGCGGCGCATACGGGTCAAGAGACCGGTGCTCGACGTCGGCGAGCTCTGACAGAATGGGGTAAGGGTGAGAGACGAGGCGAGCCTGGTTGAGGCTGCGGATCTTCTCGGAAAGTTTGCTCTGCTTCTCGCGCAGGGACCTGTCGTCGGAGTTGATGTGGCCGGTCAAAGAACCGCCATTATCGGCAGAACGGTCGACGTCAGAAAACTCGGGCTGGTGAGAACCAATCTTGGTCGCGTTACCGATGACGGAGCGGTGCATGCTCGACTTGCCCAACACGCTGGCCCTACCAGACCGGGCTCCAGTCGCCTGGCTCTTGCTCCGTCGCGAACGACCAAAGCCACCCGTCGACTCTCTCATCGATGCCGCAGGTCCAAAAGAAGACTCTTCCCGGGCCTTGATCCCGAAGTGCTCGTAAATGCGCTTGCGCTGCGCCTCCCATTCCATTGTCACGTTGTCCTCCAAGAAATTGTCAAAATCGCGAACAGATCTCTCGAGGCCGTCGGCGATCATGCTCATGGTCGTTTTCGTTTGCAGGTTCGCAAGGTATGTTTCGACGTCAATCTCGGCGGGGGAGTAGCCGGACGGTCTCTCGACACGGCCAGTCTGCAAGTCGAGGGAGCCGAGGTCCTTGGCAGCCATTCCGGGGTCAACGCCAGAAGCGGCCAGAAGGTAGTGAGCTCTGCCGTCCGAAGGACGCTCCTGTGCCTTTGTCCCCAGCTTCTTCAAGCGCTGGCGCAGGTCACCCAGGCCCAATTGCAGGCTGGGGAGGTCCTCCATGCCGTTTTCGCCATCTCCCTGCTTCTTGCTTTTAGCGAAGAGGCTGTCAAAGTATGCGCCAGACAGCTGGCCTTGCTTGGATTGTGACTGGTCGTTGGTGTTCTGGTTCTGCTGCTGCTGCTGCTGCTGCTGCTGCGAAAACAGAGAGCTACCGAGGGTGTTGGAATTGGTTTGACCAAAGGCCGAGCCGGTCGTCTGGGTTTGATTCTGGTTCTGCTGGTTGCCGCCGAGGCCGCCAAGTCCGCCGAAGAGAGATGGCTTCTGGGCCGTCGATGTTCCCAGTCCCCCCAAGCCTCCCAGGCTGAGTCCTCCCGACTGCTGCTGCTGCTGGCCCTGCTGTTGTTGCGGCTGGCCAAACAGCGACGATCCTGATGCCAATTGTGCACTTGTAGCAGCACCGCCACCAAACAACCCACCACCTGTCTGAGGCTTGTTCTGTCCAATGTTCCCGAAAAGACCGCCCGAAGCAGGCGTCGAGCTCGTTTGTTGGGTGTTCGTGTTGTTCTGCTGTCCAAAAAGGCCTCCTCCCGTGCTGGCCTGCTGCTGGTTTCCGCCAGTCGAGGCGCCCAGACTACCGAAGAGCGACATGTTGTAATGATGTCGTGATCGCGTTCGGTCGGGGGCAAATTCGTACACGGAACCAGAGGGGCTATCGAGGTTGTTGCGGATGGGTGACGCGATCGAAAGCTACCCAGGCGCGTTTGCAGAATGAAATTTTGAGGTTTGGGAGAGCTCTCAGCGATAGCTCCACTGATTGGCGGGGGGCGACCAGGCAACGGGGGCCGGGGAAAGTGCCGGATACATGTTATCCCTGCGAAGCATAGCCGACGGAGAGAGTACATGGTACTTGTCCTCGTTCGACATACTGTGCTCACCGAAACAACCACCTTCGGTGAGCTTCACTTTACGTGGTATGCCGATGGCTCAAAACAATGGCAGCGATAATCTTGTTGTCATTAGATTTCCTGCAATACTCAATAGTCTCGAACTCTGCTTCACTATTTTTTCCTCACTACTTGATTTCGTAACTCGACCCATTCACGTGCTGACTCGCAATTCAACTGTCGGTTTCTTGCCTCTAGTTGGGGGCATTTTTCTGAGTTGGTCCACAAAGCGAGGATAATGAGACCCAATACCGATAGACTAAACAACAAGATACCATAATTCAGACCTTAATTCACGATATGTTTTCTGATAAATTGGACGTTGAGAGAGTCTCCTTTCATTGTTTTCTTGCCTTGCTGTACTGTATCTCTTTCCTGGCTGCGAAAGTATGGCTTGCTACCCATATGTGGGCAAATATCGCAATCTTATGTTTCGCGATACCATGGGTACTTTTCTTGGTCTTTCAAGGCTTCCAGTTGCGCCTTCTGTATATGAAGTTTTGTGCCTACTCTTTTGAGTTAGAGTAAAATCTGTTGACTCCAAGTCTGTTGATTTACTCGGGTCTAGCATCCTTCCCACCTCTTTTACCCCCCTGTCCTATGGCCATCGAGGTGCTAGGAACTGCATAGCTCCAAAATCCCTTGATGTAGAGCAAGAGGAAGTTGTGTCCCCTTTTTTGTGTGTTGCTTCTATACTGCGATTTGGACAGTGGGTAATCGCAATCATGCGGCCAGCACAAACTGCAGGCAACGCTGACGAAGAAGAGTGTTCTCAACCGATCTTTACCCAGACAGTTCCTTTATATATCCTCGTATGGATTCTAGATAACAATCAGAGGCATCTTTCGATGTCGCATACTTTGAAAATCCAACCAAATCCATGATGATGCCCATACTTTCTTCCTCACATATCTTCGCCGGACGGGTTTATCTGATTATAACCCCCGCTTGATTACACCTTATCCTGTGGACTTTGTAGTATCTAATAGCTATCAACTGTTGTTTCCAGTTCTTTCTGCCCAACGGATACCGTAGCTCGTTTGCTAACTTATCTTTATGAAATTGCCGCAAAGTCTTGCCCATAAATCTCTCTCTAGCATCGTCTCCCAACCTTGAAGTGGCAGTTCAAAGTGGAACGAACCACCACCAGAATAGGGGAACGTAAAACACCCCTTTTCATGACTTGAAAGACTGCGCCCCCCCCCCCCCCCCCCAACTGACAGTCTTGTTAACTGCGATCTCAAGCTGGGGGTAACCAATACCCCCCATTCCAGCAGACTTAGAACCTCGGCTACTTGAAGTCTTGGTATTCCGCTGGCCTTTGGCTTACAAGGGCTGCAGGCAGCCCTGCATCTTACTTAGCTAAAAATAGGCAGCTCGCTCCGTTATTCCACTGACAGAAAGAGTTGTCACACAATATCTCAATATATGTACAGAATTCTCTTGACTGAACTGTTCACGATGTAGTTTGATTACACAAGAAACCCAACCCGTCCGTAGTACATGGTGATTTTGTAGGTAAAAGCAGTACGTGGGAGTCTCATCGCGATGCCACTGAATTTATTGGAAAGCTTTACTTGCCATTAAATTGTTACCTAACATGGTAGACCGGCCTAGCAGGATCTCGCATTACTGTCATCGTGTTTCTTCTCAGGGTGGAAATGCTGACCGACTGCCCAGTCAGGATGCCGGCTGAAAAGTCGGGGTGTAAGTGGTAACCTCCTAGGACTGCGATCCTAACTGGTAAGACATTTCTAGCAAAATTCTAGGCCTGCAACCGTCCATCACTGTCAAGGGCAGACATCTTGGCCCGCAAAGACCCGTACGGACGGATGTAGTGTCCTCCCCAAGCTCCTCACTACCCACGCATCAAGGCTACCCTTGAGATGATGTCTGGCAAATAACCAGGGATATTGAAGCTCTTGATCTCCCGACGACAGCCTGACCTCACCAGACCCTCGCTTCAGGTGCCTGGCTACCCGGAGACCGGCGTGAGGCCTCAACCACCACAACCACACCACGCACGCCTTAATCTTAGCCCATGATCCCACGATTCCATCAACCGATCCCATAGCTCCCCAACACACACGCCACCACGTCCCTTACTCAAGGAAGCGAGGCTTGGAATCATCCATCGCCGGTAGGGGATATAAACATGCCCTCCGCCGCCGAAACCCTCGGCCCGAATCAAATCGGACCGCCGAATCTCGTGACAAAGAGAGGAACCACCCCAATCAGGGGCCTAGTATTTAGGAGGGTTGGGAGGTTGGCTGGCCTCATCCGGCTAGACGCCGAGCTTGACCCGGGTCTGGCGGTCCCCTGGTTCTTGCTGCAGCAAGACCAGATTTGGTCACGCCACCGCCGTCGGAGCCAGATCCAGAGACAAATGAACCCCCCTAAAAAAGTGACCAAACAAACAGAAACAAAAAAACGGCCGTCACATCATCCGGTGCTGCGGCTACCTCTGCCGAGCCGGGCGCTACTGCACCTTAGCGGAGCCCGCCCTTGCTGGCGTTCTTGCGACGCCAAATGTTCTCCAGTCAAGATATCACTGCTTGCCAAGCCATCCAGATCTTTGGGAAAACCTGTTTAGCTAGATCCAGGAGTTTCTGCTAGCATAAGCAGCTGGCCGTCATGGCCATTTGACGTCACTTCATCACCTCATCACGGGCTGCATGAGCCACATATTGATCAACGTGTGTGTGTGTGTGTATGTATGTGAAAGACTTCTTTTTTCTGCTTCTCTGTATCTAAAGGCTGTAAGAAGCTGGTGGCTTGCATCTAACTGAACAAAAGCCTTGCAAAGGTGAGCAATCAGGGAAGCTGTCCGGCTGTTCCCTTGTATTCGTAGTGCGTCGTGGGGTATCTTTATGACCTCTTTCTGTCAAATGGTCGGCTTCGATTCCCAAACGCCTTGCAATTGCCTCGATATCGTCCCCACCACTGAGGTCGAAGAAGTCCTCCGTCTCGAGCAAAAAAACAAGAAAAAAAACAAGAAAAAAAAACAAGTCTCATCTGTGTAGGACCGGTTCTATCCCGTCCCTCTTGAGCAAAAAAAAAAAAAAAAAAAAAAAAGCAAAGAGAAAAAAGCAAAATCGTAGTCGTAGTTGAGTTTTTCCTCAACGCCCAAAACTCCCCTTCCGGAATTCCATTCGTAATGTACAGGTCGTCGTCATATGATACAGTCAGAAGCTCCTTCAGCTCTGATTAAGCCGCACGATCGACTGTGCGTTGCAGGCGGTAATTGGGGATCTCAAAGAAATTTCCCTTGTCTGCGTGGTAGCGGTAAGCGTGAAAATCGTAGCCGTAGGGCTTAGGCTCAATGGAGTAGAGCATGCCCAAAGGAACATCCAAGTCGGCAATCTCATTGCGGGTGAGATCCATAAAATACGCCATAAGAACGCGGCAGACTGAGCGATGTGCAATGATGAGGACATGGTCCTCAATGCGCTCAATCTCACGCACCATGTCGCGCAGACGGGCGATAACCTGGAGGTATCCCTCTCCACCAACGCCTGGGTAAGTGTAATGGAGCTTGTCCTCGGCGCGTTTTCTATACTCGCCGGGGAACCTCCTGGCGATCTCCTCATACGTCAAGCCTTCGAAGAGGCCCGCGTTGAGCTCGTTGAGCATCGCCCAGTTCTTCACATCGTAATCATCGTCATTCTCAAACTCCGTGGCAGTTTGGACGCTGCGCTTCAGCATTGACGTCCAAACGCAAAAGTTCTTCTCCTCCAGTTCGCGGTTCAGCTCGGGATAGGGCGGCGTGTGATCGCCGGCCTTGGGCGGGAAGGAAGACTGAGCTATCTTGTCCTTCTGCTCAATGAGCCACTCCTTGCGTTTTTGAGTGACGAAGGCGTGGAGAGCACTCCCGTATCGCTCTCCGTCGGGCGTCAGCTCCGAGTCGCCACCAAGCTTGCCGAGCCGATTGTCAACACTCTGGCCATGACGGGTAAGCCATATCTGCCGCGGCGCAAGGTTGAATGTCGTCAAGTAGGAGCTAATGCCTCCACTGAGGAAGCCCCGCAGTCTGTGCTGGATTAGCTTTCGGCCAACGTCGATCATCTGTGAATTGCGTGTTAGTTGAGAGGACTGGCTGCGGTGTGTGGTATTGCATACCTGAATGTACTGCATGTCATTCGCCTCCTCATAGGCGCCAATGGGAACATAGGCGCTCTCATATGCGGCAACACGTCTTTTGAAATCCGCGAGGGACTGATGAGGATCCTTGTCCTTATAGTCAGGGCCCGAAAGCTTCAGACGCATGTTGGCTTCGAGGAGCTGAGTAAACGTTAGACCGATTTTGAAAAACAATGAAAACAAGGAGGAGGCAAGGTAACTAACGTTTTGATCGTGGCAGATACTCTCGATGAAGAGTATCCCCAGCTTGGGCTCTCTCGCCTTGATTCGGTCGACCAGAAGCTGACGACGCTCGATTGTGCTGTTGGTCGCATCAAGAATCCCGACAGAGCCCCCTTGATGCAAAAGGTAGTCCAGAAGCTCATCCAGAGTGTCCAAGGCCACCTGCTCGCGAAGCTTGGCTGCGGACTCATTTGTCGGCTCGAAGAATTTAGCGGACTGGTCCATAGCGTCGCTCGAGTCGTTCAGGTTCAGCTCGGCAGGCTCCTTGTTAGCCTGCGACATATGCCCATTAAGCAAGATCGAGGCAGCCTGAGCAGGGGGGTCGAGTCTGAATGTGGCAGGCGAGTGCGCCGACTTTATGGGGGAGGTCAGGCCCGCCACGACACGTCTCCGGTTGCCCACGTTGAAGATGCGCGAGTTGTACTGTTGCCAAGAGAGGTATCGTTGGACCTTTTTGGTGATGTACGACTTTCCTCGGGCGGGGAGGCCGACCATGATGATGACGAGCTTCGCAGCCACATCGCGGTCGCTTATCTTTCCGTCAGGCGAAGCTCTGGACACGGTCATACCAGGAACGTTGAGTGTGGCGGGGTGCGGGCGAAGGCGCGGGGTGGTGCCTCCCGAGTTCTGTCTGACTGGTGGGCTATTTGTGCGTTCAATTAGCCAAGCTCTGGGGCACCAGGCTGCGGAAGGCTGATGCACGGCTCAAGCAGAGAGTGTCCGCTCGACGTAGCATCAGTCGCTGCATATACATACATTCTGGGAGAGCTCGGGGCGGTCGAGACGACGCTGCGCATGGCCGGAGGGGTGTCGGAGGAGGCGATCAGGGATCGATCGCGAAGGGCGATGGGGCCGTTCAGGTCGTTCATGGAGCGGATGACATGCGCCATTGCGGGAGGAGGGAGAAGGCCATCGTGAGGGTGCGACACGGGCATTGGCAGGGGCTCGCCGTTGGGAAACGAAGGCGAGGTCGACTTGTTCGCGTGGAAGGGTGGCGATGACGCATGGGGGCGGAAATCCTTGTTGGAACTCATGGCCAGCTTCGCCAGAGCAGACTGCTTGGCCTGTATAAGGCCAAGGTCTGTTGGCGGGAAAGAATGTCAATACTCGGGTGCTTTCTTTTCAAGAGCGAACGGGTCGGGCGAGGAGAGGGACAGCAGCGGGGAGCATGCAAGAGTAGGTAACGGCGCAAAGTGGGAAGTGGAAAAGAAGAAAGCCAGGAGGGTTGTACGGACCTGGCAGTTGAGGAAAGACTGCGGAAGGCATGGGCGGCGTGAATATTCGAGAAAGTACCTATAGGTAGACGGAGGGGTCCAGTCGGCCGGCGGCTCGACTATCTAAAGAGAAGGGGCCACAGGGGCGTAGGACCGACCGGGTTTGGTTGGCTGGGCCTGCCGTTTAGAGCAGGAAATGGTGGTCGCGCGCTTTCTTTCCGCTGGGGTACCTAGGTCCCTAGGTACGGTAGGAGCGGTCTTGAGGGGCTTTCGGGGGGGAGGCGGGGCGGGGAGTGGGGGCAGAGAGTGCGAAATCTCTCTGTGTCTCTGTTCGCTTCGAAGGGCTTGCACCCAATCGATGGGCAAGGATGGGGAAGCTGGTCAAGCTGTCCCCAGGCGAGGGTGATGAAAAATGTGGCGTCCGAGAAGGCTAGCTTGTACCTTGGCGTGCAGGGGTCTGCCGGGCGGAATGAGGAAAAAAAGTGTTGAGAGGGGACCGGAGAAGGAACACAAAGTGCGTGTAAGTGACGGCTTCTCGTTCAGTCCGTCGCCAAGGCCAGTAATCCTCTCGATCTTGTCCGTATCTAGGACGAAGGCACAGACAGATAAACAAGAGATATGCGTATGGCAAGTGTAAGCAGGTATCGATGATGTGAATGCTGCAAGCACGCGTGCACACATACACACGCAAACAAGACAGTTGATGGATGGAATATGATGATGGCTGAGGGAGAAGAAAAGAAGGATTCTGATGTCTCCGGGACGGACGGGTCTGTCAGGTTAAAGAGGATATAAGAAAGGTGGAGGGTCAGGGCGATGGAGCCCCGAGATGGAGGAAAGGACCGATAAATATCTATAGGATGGTAAGGTAGGTACGGATAATGGTATGGGATGGGACGGCATGGCATGGCATAGCATGGGGGTGAGGTGAGTGAGGTGAGGATGAGGGTGAGGGTGAATAGAGACAGCCCAGGCCAGACCGGGGGTGAGGGTCGAGAGCGGCAAGGACAACAACCTCAGGCCCGTCTGAGACTCCCTCGTCGTCTGCCTCTCCCGTCTTGGCCATGTTTCCCCGGAGCCCTGTTATGTTTTACTTGTGTCTTTTTTTACTTGAATTTGCTCTGCACCGCCTGTTTCTTCTTCTTTTTCGTTTCTTTCTAGCCCCAACCTTGAGCAAGAGAGATGGAGGTACGTATGGGTACGGGGATGGAGCCACAGGACAGATGGCAGTGAAGCTTTAGGAGGTGAGAGAGAGAAGATAGTCCCAAATGCCAACTCCGTACGGATGGATACCTGCGCTACCTCGACTCGGCAGGACAGGCCGTGGGTAGTGTAGTGTACTAAGGTTAGAAAGAGCAAGGAAGAGGTACCTTGGCAAGGCACTTGGCTGTGCACTATGTACACTGCCAGCACGAGCTAAAACCGAGAGGGAAAGAGCAAACAGAAAGAGAGAGCATGCGTGTGCGTGTGTGTGATGGAGAGTCTCACTGTCCGAGGGAAAAACCCACACAGGGCAAGGGAAGCCAACGTGGAGAGGGAAGGGCCCTGCTTACAGTGGGTGGTTCTGCTTCTCAGGTACCTGCTCACCTATCATGGGTAGGTAGGTACCTTGGCTGTCATGAGGTTTCCCAATGACTCCAACCCGACGCCGCCAGCGTCAGCGCTGCGCTCCTCCAGAATTCGGGGCTTGCCCTGCAGCAGAGAGATTCCCTGGGTGGGTGGGGGGCCTCTAATTGGGCCGGTGCTGCATGCTCGGTGACCGGTCGCCGATGCGTGGCCCTTCCATCCAAATTGATTGATAGGGTTATCCCACCCCCCTGCCACCCCTTCTTCCCTGACCCTGTTCGTTAAGCCTCTTGCTCTGCCTGTCCTGGTATTTTTTCCCTAGGTAATTATTTTGGATTCTTCCCTCTCACTCTTAAAGTTGGAGATTTAGAGATAGGGTTCCCGCATCCGGTCCCTATTTGCCTCCAGCACTCGACTTGTTGGGCTGGCCGTGCAGTGCAGGGTCAAACGGAACAGGCCTGGGCGTTTTTTGAACTAGCCTCCGGCCTTCTTCCCTTTCGTGACGAGATGCCTTCCGCCCTGCCCCAAACATTCCAAGGTTGTCAACAGACATTGTCACGCCTGCATACGGATAGGCCCGATGATGCCAGAGATGAATGAGGGCAGGTAGAGCTAGGTGTCCAATGGTTTGGTCCACTCTCCTCCCCCCCCAAAGTAAAGATAGGACGAGGCAGAAACGAGAAATGGGGGCGGTAGGTGTGTGTTGGTGTCTGTGCCCACCTGGACGAGCAACCGATGGCAAAATATCCCATAGTCGACTCACTCTTTGGCCAGTGGTGAGGTGATGGTGGTTGACAACGCCCGTTGCCAGCCTGAGCCCGAAATTGACAGCATTCCACTTCCCACCTTTATCGGGACCATTTCACGTGTTATTTCTGGTGCTCCCCCTTGCGAACGGCGTTTTTGCTGGGCGATATGTCGGTCACTTTACGGAGACTTGTGAACTGCATGACATGTTCCGCTGACGCGACGGAGGGGGTCGGGACCAGAGCCAGCCCTCGAGGTGAAGCTGTATGTTGTAGCAGAGGTAATTAATAGAAGCTAGTCAGGCTGGCGGACAAAAACCACAGCATGACCCTGGGTCGACAACGCTCGATAGCAGGCGTTTGCGTTGTATGCCAAACCACAGTCGGTACTTTTCCCTTCTTCCTTGTTTTTTGCCTTCGGGGGTTTCTTTTTGTTTTTGTTTTTGCGTGAGCGCAGCTCATGATTCTCATGGCCCCTCCCAGAAGCTCAGGCTCCCCGGTTAGGCAACCCATTGGTGTCTTGGTCCAATGCCTGAAGCCTGTCCTAACCCCGTCTCACCCTCGTCCGTCCGTCCTCGAACGCTTGCTCAAATCGTATTCTCACTCGCATGTCAATGTCCATCCATACCAGTCAGTGTTACCCCGTTTCCCACCACCACCAGCCCTGACAACCGCTGTTCAGCAGTGTCACGGATGCCAGTCTCCGTGCACTCATGCCCGCCGGGACTCCTCAACAGTCAACCTGGTTACTCCCTCTCTCCCCAACCCGTCTGTCGTCTAAAATAAGGCCCCGAAACACCCGTCACGGCGGCCGGCCCCATGCCATGCGTCTCCCCGTCTGTCTGGGCCCTGTCGTATCCTCCTCCCGTATGCCGCGCCGTGCTTTCTTCTGTCTGGTCTTCTCCAGTCTGTGTTAATGCACCCCCAGATGCTCCCTCCAGCATCCTTTGTCGAGCTGACACCAACTGCCCTCTTTCTGACTCGGTGAACGTGCTTCCCACTTCCCTTCCCACTCAATGTTTCACGATTCATTACCTATTCCTGTGCTGGCCGCCAAGTCCCCTCCTGCTTCAACCGAGACCTTATCCTACAGCCGTCCCAACTTCTCAAGCATTCCAGCTCACAGCCAAGCCACAGGAATAGACCAGTCAGATTAACCCTCGCAGACACACACGCCTCAAGGCCGCACAAAGCTTACCTTCATGGTTCATCGCCCTGTTCCATTTGCATGCTTCGCCCCCATGCCTCCCCCCCCCCCCCCCTCTTTTTTTTTTCCTTTTTTTTTTTTAGGTGGTTGATTACTTTTGGGTTTATCCAAAGGCCTGATCGAATTCCTTGTGCCTTCCTTCATTGGGCTTTCCAATGTGAGCTGCAACATGTCTTCTTCGACCGCACTCAACAAGTCGCACCCGGGGGGGATGGGTACACAGCATGGTTTAACACACCATCTCAGGGTCGCGTGCCGACAATGGTCATTGCACTCTCTGTTGGCGCTGCAACGACTCAACTAGCGCTTGGCTGTCCTCAGAATCACCCCGAAGTCCGGAGGCTAGAAGAGACCTCCACGCCCCGAAGATCCGCTCATCTCAGGGATCCGCTGCGTCTTCGGTGAACCATTGGTCTCTTCACGAAGCCCGTCCTACAGATTCTTGACTCGATGCGGGGATGCCAGATGGGCTCGCCGGCTGTCAGTGTCCTGTCGTCGTTGAGCGCCAGACCACCAGGCTTTCCCTAAACGTAGCTCGACGGCGGATGATGGTTCATTTTCCGACCTAAGCGGTGATGTCACTCGAGGTGGCTGCCTTGTGTGTTGTCATCCTCCTCCCGTGACAGAACTCTGTGCTTGGCCTATTAACGCACCGCAGACAGAACGAGTGGGATGGTGATCCGCATGTCCCGCCCATGGCAAAGAGGCCGACCTGTCAGCGACCTCGAGACGAGTGAGGCTTGCGCTCACAACACACAGTCATTCCGCCATGGCAATGACAACTAGTAACATAACCAAATTCACCAATCACAGCCCAAGAATTGGCTGGTCCGCTTGCTTGTCTTGGCGTTTCGCTCCTGAACAGGGAGGGACTGGGCGTGGATGACGAAAGGGGGTTTTGGTACGGAACCCCCACTCGAGCGAGACTCATTCGAGAAAGAGGATGGCGTTACACTGCAGGACGCAGGCAGGCGTGCAGCAGAGACAACGGAGCTTTCCCAACTCCCCAATCCATGAATGTGGGGAGTTGAGTTGATGTTCCAAACGCCGGCGGCGCGGCCCTCATCTGCGTTGTGCTCCTCATAGGTACTGGATATTGCCGCCGCCGCCCTCGCGCCGCCACTCCACTGCCTAATTACCTAGTTCCCACCCCGCGTGCCGAAAGTTGGGCGTAACTAGTGAATGAGAGCCTATTCCGCTTCCATACCTACTACTGCGTATGTGCTAGTGTACCTACACTAGTGTGCTAGTAATGATGCTGGCCCTCCATGCACCATGAGGGGTCAACGGCAGAGTTTGCCGTTCCTTACTGGATGGACACTGACGATCGGCCCTCAAGCTTCCAGTGACAATTAGGGGACCGCTGGCGCAGTGACAGTGACAGCAACAGCGCCAAGATCACAGGGAGAGAGCATCTGGTGGATCTGCAAACGCTAGAGGTCATCTGGGGGCCAAGGGGGGATACGGCCGATGTCCGGCGCGGTGTGGTGGAGGGTAGGTAAGAGCGTTTAGCGACGTGTATGACTTGCAGTCCCAGGTCGTTGTATCGTCGCGGCCGGCGGAGGCCGACCAGTAGGGGCGTGCCGCCATCGGAGATTGAATAGTGGTTGATGGGGCTCCCACACGTGGGGTCAAAGTTGCTGTTTGATGATTGCATTTATAAGCCGCGGTACGTTCGGAGAAAAAGTGTCTGATATGGGCTGCAAGACTTTGTCAGTGTTTCTGCCATCAACAGTGGGCGGCCAATGATACACTGCATCCCTGACTCTTTGCGATATGTCGTGAGACAGCCGCGAACGGTCAAGCGAGCCTCAAGGTTTGGAAGCAAGCTGTTGTTGAAGGACAGAAGAAGCTCAACCAAGATGAGGAATGTGCAGACGCCAAAAACCTGCATTCAACCTTCGAGGTTGACGCTCGGCGAGTGAATTTTTGGTGAGACGAGGGCTGTCTTGGTTGTCAATCTCGATGGGCTGGGTTCCCTCGTTGCCTCTCGCGTTCCCCATCTGTCTCCTCCCTCTCCGGCCCCTTCTCCAGCTGTGTTTTTGTTGTCAGCATCTATCTCCGCCTCCCTCAATTTGGGGGGGGGGGGGGGGGGGGGGGGGGGGGGGACAAGGTCGAAGAAGCTTGTGCCACCTATCCGTACACTACGAATAAATATACGCCGTCTCCACGGCAGAGTTGTGTGGGCTCCAAGAACAGAAAGAAAAGAAACGCTGGCGAGGGCCACAGAATCGCTCAGGTGTAGTTCCATCTTCGGGAGGAGAGACCGGCCCACTTTCTGCTCTCCTCCCATTTCCAGACTGGACAGTGAGGTGGGCGGTCACTGGTGGACGCGGACTGGCTGTACCGAGGTGCTTTAGCGCATATCGCTATCGATAAGACGCGCCGCAGCTGTAGAGGCCGGCCAGGAGCACCCCCGAGCGCCCCGCCGGCGGCTCTGCTCTGCGATTCGATTCGATGCAGGGACGGACCTTCCGTGCTTGTGCCTGGCCGGCTGGGCCAGAGTCTGGATCGTCAAAGCAGTCAAATTTTCTGATGCTTCACACCCGTCCCGTCGGTTCAATATCCACAGTTCGGACCGCTTTCAGAAACGCTTGGCCTTCAGATGCATTGTCCGCTGAGGAACAACGCCAACTGATCCGATAGGACCCCATTCCCTCTTCATTGTTTCTTTGTTTGGCTCCGAACTGGGCCCTGTCGTTTCAGGACCTGGCACAACAGCGTTGATCTCCAAGCTCCTGGGTTACATTCGTCCACCCTAAAGAGCCAACTATAGATGGGAGGCCGGTGCTGAGACCGACATCAGCACTGAGACCAAGACTGAGACTCTTCGGCCGACCTACCAGCCTGCCAGACCCGCCCGCCATCAGTTCCAATTATACCTGCGTCAGCAGATTTCTTGGCAAACATTTCTGAGCAAGTCTCAAACTCAACTCCTGAACGGAACAAGGCCTTGTGGATCACCAGTCTCGAAAAGAGAGTGATCGAGTGTAGTTCTTGGCCCAAGTAGCCCAAGGCCAGAACCAAAGGACTGAGAGGCAGAAACAAAGGAGGGCAGAGTTGAAGTGGTTGCAAGTGCACAGCAAAAAGCTGGGAGCAAGTGTCGAGGGTGAGCGTGCCTTCCGTCCTCGTGCTTTGCCCCAACAACATCACCATACAGGACCACTTACCTGCCGGTGTGCCTGCCTGCCTGCCCGGTCATCATCGCCAGGCTGCTTTTAGTGGCTTCCTGGTAGGGAGAGCCTTTCTAGTAGGTGCTTGAGGACGGCACCGTCTACTCTTCCCAAGAGAACGCCAGGCAATCGCACCTGTTCTGCTATTCAAGGCTTCTCCAGCTTCTTGGCCATTGCGCTTGCTGGCATCTCTACGCCAGATTATAAATTATTCGACTTCTGCGCCACCAGGAGAAAAGACGTCGACGCAGACCAAGTCCAAGGATCCACGAAGCAAGAACGACGACGTGTTATCACTCACACCAACGGCCAGTTGCACCGAGACCTTTTTTGACTGGAACCTCCCATAGCCAGTCCTGGTCATCAGTCTGGCTTCTTGGCCGTTCTTCCAAAGTACACGTCACTTCCGGCACTCATCTTGTCCAACGACACCATAACACAATAAGGTTCATCGCGTGTTGGCCAGATTTCATCTATTGCTGACCTCTGATCGGATTCCAACCTGAGTCGCCGCAATTCGAGACTGGTATCCGGCTGCTTCCCCCAAGCAGAGGACAAGCAAACCTTGCCATCATTCAAAACCAAACATCGTTGAAGGCAAGCCCCGCCGGCACAACGAGCCGTCTTGTCTCCTCTGTTGGCTATTGTGAGCCTGAAGACCTGGCAGACCAAATTTGTCTTTCTGTCACAGTGAGTCACTTCACGGCGATAAGGCATGGTATTCTTCTCCACGGCCCTCCACTAACACGTGCAAGCTCTGCTTCTTCTACCCACCCACCTTCGAAGCTTCATATAGGGGTTGTACGAACCAGTCGTCATAATGCTGTCAGCCGAGCACCCTGCGCATCCCAAAGAGGGCCTGGGGAGACCTGACGATCAGTCTGTTGAGAAGGGCGAGCACGCTGGACCCGATGTTATCCAGCCCCATGTTCTCACCGACAATCTTATCCCCCAGCAGCTGGGCCGAGGGGTCTTGATTCCCTTGAAGACGACGCTTGAGATCCGACAGGACCATACCATCGTGCAGGCCTTGATCACCCGAGCGCCTTCTACGTCCACTAACAATGTCGTCAAGTAAGTTTGACGACTGCATGATTGCGAACTGCGTGCTAACCTAGACCCAGCTTGATCCGCTCGATGCTCCCTGAGGGCGTGGCTAACAACCTGCCTCACTTGCGCCGGTGCGCAAAGCCAGCCGATATCCCGGCTCACCTCAAGACGCAGTTCATGAACGACTCTCCGGAAGGCCGCCAGGTCCACACCGGAAAGTCGACCTGGATCTACATCATGCTTGGCGAAGAGAAAGACTTTGAACGGCATGACTTGACTGTCAAATTGTCCGCCATTGAAGGCTTGGGGGAGAATCTCTTCCTTACCAAGATCCCAATCCCCGCGGTGCCCCCCACTTCCCAGATACAGGCGGCCATGTGGACATCGCAGTTCTGGCCCACGGTGTACAGGAAGAACAATCCTTTGGGACCACACCCTAGCATGGTTAGCCGCTCAACAGAGACCATCAAGGACGAGACGTCCCTGTGGATGACGTTGGCCCACCGCGTCGCTCTCCAGGCCAGGAAGGCGGGCGTCGGCGAGGCCATGGGCGCTGTCATTGTGCAGCGCGAGGGAGGCAAGTCGACGCTCGTAGCAGTCGCCGGAGATGCTCGCTGGCACCAGGAACCCAGTCGCAGCGGTACCGGCAACCCCATGGCTCACTGCGCGCTCAGAGCTATCAGCATGGTCGCACAGAAGCTTGTCCGACACGAGAGACGGGTGGCCGGACACTCCCACTCGCCTCCCATCCTCGAGTACGACATGTTCCAAGATCTCCCGCTCGTCGAAGATGAGCTCACGGTATATAACGATGAGCACCCCAATACGGACGGCTATCTGTGCCACGGCATGGAAATGTACCTGACCCACGAGCCTTGCGTTCAGTGCTCGATGGGAATACTGCATTCACGAATGGGCAAAGTCGTCTTCGCGCAGCGGATGCCGCTTACCGGGGGCATGTGCTCAGAGGACCGAGGCCACGATCATCCCGAACTGGTCAACTGCGGCGGCGGCGAAGGACTCGGTCTCTTCTGGAGACGCGAGCTCAACTGGAGCTTGTTGGCATGGGAGTGGGAATCAAGCGACTGTGTGGGACCCTTGCCGCCGGTTGATCACAGAGTCCATGCTTAGTCCCCATGGGACTTTACGACGATACCTAGGTGCTTATGGCCAGGGAATCAGCCTAGGCCAGAACAGTCTTTGTGTAGCAGGTTGCCAGAAATGATGGAAGCTGACGGCAGCCTCGCTACATTAGTATCGATAGCCCTTTACGCCAAAACTCTTTGCCAACCCTTTCGCAGCCTCGGTCTGATAACGCGTTTGGCCGACAGAGGCTGGTTGAGGTGTTGGTTTAGAGGGCCAGCAGAGGGGTTAGATAGTCCTCTCAGCTCTATTCAGATATCTGGCATTCAGAGAGAAAGTGTCGAGGACATTACGGTGGTGGTGGCGCCGGGTGGTGTGGCAGAAATTATACCCATGCTGTCTTACGTAGAAAAGGCAGCAGCATCCTTAGCAATGAACAATCAAGATTACTCCTAAAGCATGTATGCCGAGGGTTGTAGTAGCACGTGCAATCCAAAGGAGTGATTCTGCTTGAATGCTGTAGTGCCCACATCCACGATCTCGAAACATCGGACAAGGCGAAGAACAGACGTTGGGCTAGTGACAAGGCGAGCAGAGCAAGCCGCGCTAATTAAGGTCAGAAAGCTCTGCAGTGGCAGAGTGGTCGTGCTGCCTGCGGGGAAGCAAGAGAGGCAGGAGGCGCCTTATCTTATCGGTCACGCCCCATCCAATGTGGAATGAGCAGCACCGCAAAGAGGAACCGCACCCCATTGAAGTGGTCCCTCGTCACCGGCCCTTGCCGCAGCCTTCATTCTTTTCCCCCGTTACATGTTTCGGCATGCGCCCGCGAACAAAGGCAGTCGCTGAGAAACAGGCACCAAACCCGCAGCCTCCGACGACAACCTTTCAGTAAACGGCTGCAACATGAGCCTTTGACTCCCTCTATTACCTAGCGACTCCTACCAGGTGGCTTTGCAACGATTCTGACGCATGCGTTTGCGAGCTCAAGCTCTTTGGACAAAAGCTGCTGACCTCCTCAACCCCCGAGCTCGAGCTTCTACTGCAAGCCGCCTCCCCTCACCTCCGACACTTATAAGAAGACGAACCGCCGCGTACTGGCAGGGCAGACCGGACGGCCGCGATCGTACAATCCAGATTTTTTCCACCATCTTCAACGACCTTTACGCCATGCCGGCCAACAAGAGAGGAGCCCCGTCCTCGAGCACGTCGAGCGCGAAGAAGCGCAAGACGGACAAGGACCTGCAAAAGTACTATGCCGTGCGCACCGGAGCGCGTCCGGGTATCTACCTGACCTGGGCCGAGTGCCAAAAGCAGACTGCCGGCTTTCGCGGAGCACAATGTGAGTTTGAAGCCCTTGCCCACCGGGGAAACACTTTTCCTCCTCTTGTCTACCTTGACCACAAGTTACTTTGGCTGAATGTACCGTCTGCTTCTGCAGACAAGTCCTTCCTCTCTCGAGAGGACGCACAGGCATTTGTGGATGGTAGGAAAATACCCAGCGAAGAGGGCGAGGAGAAGCCGCAGCGGTTCTACGCTGTTGCTCGCGGCATTTTCACGGGTATTTTCTCGGACTGGGGGACGGCGTCGATGGCGATCGCGGGGACCAAGGGGCCCAAATACAAGAAGTTCGACACGTACGAGGACGCGCTGGATTTCATCCGTGAATGGGGTGACGACCAGGCGATTGCCGACGCGGAGAAGGCGGCAAAGAGGGACGGGATCGCTGTGGCGCCGTCTACGAAAACATTTTCCAATGATGAGAAGTCAGACGACGATTCGGATGACCTCTCGGTGGAGTCAGATGACACTTCTACCAAGGACGCTCCCACCAAGGACACTCCCACCGAGGACACTGCCAAAGTTTACACAGATGGAAGCAGTCTGGGCAACGGCACTCCGGGCTCTGTAGCGGGCGTAGGCGTCTACTTCGGACCCAATGACCCAAGGTACGTTGTCCTTCCTTGACGCTATGGTTCAGACCCCTCAAATGACAGTTCCACAAGCCTCTGTCCCCTGCGTCCTTCCCCCACGCAAGCAAGGCACAGAAGAAACTAACACGACCGGCGCCAGAAATGTCTCTGAACGTCTCGAAGGTAAACTGCAAACAAACCAGCGGGCAGAACTCACCGCCATTCTACGGGCCCTACAGTTGAGCCCACTGACGCAGTCTCTGATGATCCTATCAGACAGCAAGTACTCGATCAAGTGCGTGAGAGATTGGTATAAGGACTGGCAAAGGCTAGGATGGAAGACGTCGACAAACAGCGAGGTCAAGAACAAAGACTTAATCCAGGCGGTGCGAGAGGAGATTGCCAAGCGCGACGCGGCCGGAGCGACGACTGACTTTGACTGGGTCAAGGGACATAACAACGACCCGGGCAACGTGGCAGCGGACAAGCTCGCCGTTGCTGGGGCGAGATTGGGGTTGCCAGCCAAGGGGCGCAAGAAGCTGAAGTGATGGTGACGGACCCTACTCTCGAGGAACGGTACCGAAGACGTGGATAGACGTTAGGCGACACTTGTATGTCGGAGCTGGTGTTTGGAAAAGTAGACGAGATGTGACGAGAGGCAGGAAGCGGTGGCGGATGGAGATTGGACACACTGCGTTGTCGAGCTGCAGTAAAGAAACGAGGATCATTACGAACAAGCCTACCTACATACCTTGCGGGGGAGGACAAGTGGTGGACATATGCTGCGGATGGATCGCCTTTGGAGGAGTTCACATCTCGAGGGTTGTTGTATCGATGGGGCGGGCAGTTTTCCAGCGTTTGCTGAACCGTTTCTTCGGTTATGGATGTGGCTGTATTGCTTTGCGTCTTATATCCCCTTCTCGTTAAAGCCATTCTGAATTCTCGGGCATCGTTGTCATTTTTGTTTCCCATGAGCAACTCCAGGGGGAAGCTCGGGTTATTGCTTTCTGTAGCACGGGGGAAGGTCGACGGGGGAGCTGAAGCGGAGGAGCGAGTCTCTTGTTCTGCGATTCCCAGTCGATTGGTCTCGGTTTCTGTTCGGGTTTGTCATTGTATGTAATCCTTCCATGGAGATATCCCCAAGTTCATCGAGTTCGCCCTCGCTCATGACAGGAAAAGAAGACTGAAACTGCCAACCAGCACCGCATGCCCATCTCTACTCTCTTCCCGTCTTGTCCGGTACAGGGCGAAACAGGCTGGGTCTTCTTTATCAGTTTCGTAGGGTTGTGTGTGCGCGCGCCTCCTGTCGACCTGGTGCTTCCTTTGTCCCCCCTCTGCTTGGTAGGAATTACTTACTCTTTCTTTGTTTGTTCTTGTTCTTCTTTTTCTTCTTGAGCGTTGTCTATCTTACTGGCGGCTGTACAAAGTTTTCCACTCCGCCGAGCTACATTATTTGTGGGGCCACGTCCGTCTCGGGATCCTGAACTCTCTCTCTCTTTCTTGTCCACGCCTTCTTTTTTTTTGGGGGGGGGGGGCCGAAACCCAAAGTGACGGCCCTTATCCCTTACGGTGACCGTGGAGAGATCTGTCGGTGTACAAAGCATGCAAGGCTAAGCAGGCAGGCATGGATGGCTGGTTTGGAAGTGACACTTGCCAAATACATACGTTGGAAGAGCATGAGAAAGAGAAGGCGCTGTTGAATGAAGTATATGTTTAACAGCCCAAATTTCGGGTTCCGGCAACTAGACAGATCGTATAGGCGGCCCCACTACCACTACCTCCTTCGACCCAAAACCACGCATGAGTCGGAACTTAGGAGATGAACATCACTCGCGGCCACTTTGAATATACACACATACACAGCCTCCGCAGGTTGGGAGGGCCCCGGCTGATTCCAAGTCACCCTAACCCCATGTATCCATCCATCAACTATTGAATGCAGTCAAAGATTTGCGGGGAGCAAAAAAAAAAACCAAAAAAAAAAAACCTTACACTAAAAAAATAAATACAGCATAGACAACGTCCCCCCGTCCAAACCAGCGGTGATGATGTTCATCCCGCCTCTACGGATACTGCCACTCTGTTTTCCCGCCCCCTCTTTGACCTTATCCAAGCTAGCCTAGCCTACCTAAGGCAAGTAAGCCCGCCACCACTCCTTATTTTCTTCTTCCGCTTCCTCCCTTACATTGATCTCCCTTTCCCCGACCCTTGCCCTACCACCTCCAAAACCGCCATCTACATTCACACGTTTCCCGCATCTACACGCCACATCTGGAACGTTGCCGTCGCCTTCGATTGGACAGCTCCCTTCTGCCGCCCTTTGCTCCCGTCAAATCACTCGCAGACCGCCATCTCTTGTCACACAATCCCCAGAAGACCAAGAGTATTCCCCAGAGACAAAATCCAAAGACGTTATCAATGTGAAAAAAGAAAGCACATCCGCCACAACGCTCTCCCATGGTAGTCTAGCTACGGAGGCGTCCCAACTCTTAACTCTTTGCCGTGATTCCCCACGAGATTTAGCAACACGCACTTTTCGCTGTTTGTCACCCGGGCCCTCCCCACTCCCGACAGACAGAAGGGAGAAAAAAAGGAACCTATCCTATTTTGTTCTTAACCATTGGTCATCAGCCGTTTGACTATCGGCTCCAGGCTAGGAGATCGACAAATCAGCGACCTTTAGCTACACTTGGCAGTAGAAGCGGCGCGACCGTCGCAACCGCAGCCATTCATTGGATCATCCCGTATCGAGATCGCGGAGACTTGATAGATAAAAAAACAGACGGTCTGCGAAGAGCCCCGGCCGATCTGGTTCCTTGGCAAAAGCTTGAGTCGCAAGTCACCGTTGCTTTCCCTTCTTCCTAAAGCAAGACAAGAATTGCAGCAATGCCCACCCTTGCGCTCACAAATTTCAACATCGTGGTCGGCCTGCTTGGCGGCTGGATCTCGTTGTTCGGGTTGGTGTCGTTCCTATGCAAGGAGACGTACTACCTGTCCGAAGCCTGTAAGTGCTTGCGAGCTCCTGGAACCCCCGCAACGGTGAGAGGTCTAGAACGAATGTGACGTGCCGATAGCCCCGCCCTCCCGTCTCCTCTGCCCCGAATAACGCAAAAGCGGCTGACGCACCTCCGCAGTGATATCCCTCTTGGCGGGCGTCGCCTTCTCCCCCTCGGCGGCAAACCTCATCAGACCGCTCGATTACGCGGGTACCCCGGCCAATGTCGAGGCCGTCACCCTCGCCTTCTCCCGCCTCGTTCTCGGCGTCCAGCTTGTCCTTGCTGGTGTCCAGTTACCCAGCAGATACCTCCGCACGCAGTGGAAGCCCATGGCCCTGCTCGTCGGACCCGTCATGACCTGTATGTGGCTCGCGACGAGCCTCCTCGTCTGGGCATTGACGCCGCGCCTGCCGTTTCTGCATGCCCTGGCCATTGGCGCCTGCGTGACGCCCACCGACCCGGTGCTGTCAAACGTCATCGTCAAGGGACGCTTCGCCGACCACAATATCCCCAGTGAGCTGCAGAACCTCATCATCAGTGAGTCGGGCGCCAACGACGGCCTCGGGTATCCGTTCCTGTTCTTCGCGCTGTACCTGATCAAGTACGTCGGCGACGGCGGCCATCAGGCGTCTGGCGGCGCGGGTCTGGCCATGGGTTTGTGGTTCGGCGAGACATGGGGTTACACCATCGTCCTCAGCGTCATTTACGGCGCCGTTGTGGGCTGGTTGGCCAAGATATTGCTGAGGTGGGCCGAGAGCCACAAGTACGTCGACCGGGAAAGCTTCCTGGTTTTCGCCATTTCTCTGGCGCTCTTTATTGTCGGGACATGCGGGATGATTGGTAGCGACGATGTCCTGGCATGTTTCATCGCCGGGAATGCCTTCACGTGGGACGACTGGTTCCGTTTGGAGACGGAGGATGACTCCTTTCAGCCCACCATCGACATGTTGCTAAACGTGACAATATTCATCTGGTACGGCGCCGTCATTCCGTGGGACGAGTTTTCCCGCAACGACGTGATCCCGATATACCGCCTCATTGCATTGGGAATACTGGTGCTGCTACTTCGGCGCTTGCCATTCGTATTCGCGGTCCACCGCTGGATACCCCAGATCGAGCAGGCAAAGCAGGCGGTCTTCGTGGGCTTTTTTGGTCCCATTGGAGTATCGGCCATCTTTTATCTTTACGTGACCATCGAGTTTTTACACACGCTGAACGAGGGCGGTGAGCCCCGCGCGGATGTCGCTCACATGGCGGATGCCGTCCGGGTCATTGTCTGGTTTCTTGCTGTCTGCAGTATAGTAAGTCTCGCACAACGTAACACATCGAGGCCCGAAATAATCGTTCGTTTAGGTGGTTCACGGCCTGAGCATTCCACTTGGCAAGCTCGGCTACTACGCGCCTCGCACGCTGTCCAGGGGCGTATCCTTCATGAGCGGTGACGGCGAAGACAACCCTCATCCGTTCCGGATCCGGGGTAGGGTGTTCCTTCCGTTCGGCCGGTCGAGATCTCTTGGGCTCGAGGGGCCGACAGCCTATGATGCCGAGTCCCGGGCCCAGTCACCGTCGGGGAACGAAGGAAGCCGGCCGATCTACAGAATCGGCGGCTCAATCATCCCCCAGGGTCCGGCGGATGCAGAAGGACCAGGCGCGTCTGCCTCTGTGCTAAGACGGTCCGGCCAACCGGAACAACGTTTTGGCCCCGAGGACGGAGATGGTGCCCAGACAAAGGCGGCTGGCCAACACGAGGCGCCAGCGCCAGCGCCACCAGAGCTCCCGAATCGCACAATCCGGTTTCCAGACGAGACACGCGTAGCTCGGTGATTACTGAAGCAGAATTAATTCTGCAAAAGCATTCCGACCCGAGTGTCAGATACCCACGGCGCGGGTGACAGAACCAAGAGAATGGCATGGTGACTGACTGTAGAGCAACGCCGTGCGTGCAAGTCGTCTGCACTTGCAACCCTGGTGAGGTATGTAGTGTGGACACTGTCCACAAAAGGATAGGATAGCCGAAACAATAGAAGACTTCGTTGAATAACTCGCCATTTGATGTTGATTCGGGGCCACCTTGACGAGTGAATGTAATGAGCACGGTGTCAGGTTTTCACACGGAACCGTCTAGTAATAACGGGATGCCGCTCGTCGGTGAGTGTTCTTGGTCGAAGGCTACATACTAGGTTACCGCCGCCTCGAGAGCCCAGGTGACGAGCCTAGGGCGTTTCGATCAAGGTCAGATGGATAAACAGCTTTATGCAAGCCACCCCTGAGAGGGCGTCAGGGTTCACATAAGGATGATTTGTGCAATCCCCGTTTTTAGTGCGCAGTCTCCGGTCTATGGCGTCCCCGAACGGACAACTGGGTGACACGCGCCTGCAAAGGCTAATGTAGGTTGTGGTGTCGAGGCGTTTGCGCGAGCTTCGGAGCGACGTCGGGGCTGAAGAGTGTGTGCTGCATTGCATCCTGCGATGCCCTAGGAGGCTGGTAAAGCTGGTGGTCAACCCGCTCAGACAGCAACCGGGCTCGAAGCCGGGCTAGGCCAGACCCTCGAC